TATAGGATAAGCCTGATGGAGGCACATAGATGGTCGTGGGTTTTTTTCTCAGAGATCGCACTGACCGACACGTATGACGAGGCAGTCCAACGTTTGGAGACCCTGTCTTAACGAATAACTCGATGGGGAAATACCCGTCGGGGGGACTTGGGGATAGACCCAAGTCACCAACCGAAAGGATACGCTCCGGATTCTCGACCAGTCACCAGCGAGTCGAGGACGCACTGACGTGACATTTATTTTAGAGTGTCGCATTTGCTCGACAAACCGTTGATTGGATATTGGAGCGCGCTCACTATTAGTAATCACCATCGATCTTCGTTGACTTCAGACCCCTAACACCCGTGGTATAAAGTTATAAAGTAGGCTTCGCAACCGTGGCTATTGAACGCGATAGCGTTTTCCGCTACTGCGGAAAGGCAAGACCAGGTATGGAGAGAAGCGATGTCCTGGAAACCATGCCTTCAGATGTACAAGATGTATCAGGAGAAACGACGACTGACCGCAGTCAGCATGTACAATATTAGGAGGGATAGCACTCATCTTGCATTCGCGGGACCGAAGATGATTTGAAAATACCGCAGTAACTTCCAAAACATCCACCGAATCCAAATAAGAGCGCACCCCACATCACTTTAATGAAGAGGAGCTTCGTGAAAGATTGTGAGCGCCTGCCTCGTGGAATGCTGCGAAATACGAAGGAATTACAAGAGCGATTGGAGAAGAAGAGCCGACGGACCTGCTGAGGAATCGCTCCTGAGACGAAAGGGATTTGTTGCTGTGATATAGTATGGCAGGACCATATGGGTCAGTGGGACCATGAACCATCTGTCGCGATTCAAGTCGACTGCGTGCAGAAACTCCACAAGCAATCGACATCGGATGAGTTTCGAACTTGGCGCGCTGGAACTTCCTCCCTTTCCCGCCACCGCATAATGTGAGCCCAATGGAAGTTCGGAGGTCGCGAATCCGACACGCGATCAGGGCGATTCGAAAACAGCTCGCGACTCTTCAGGGCGGAGACCTGGATTGATCAGACAAGCGAGAGCTGTGTCAAGATCAATCCGACAACTCGCGCCAATCAAGAGAAGCTGTCGCCGGTCTTGCCGAGAGTGAATCGCATAATCATCGATGGGGGAGACGAATCGCGCGTTTCCTCAACAAACTGCGGCTATAAGCTGAGGCTCGAACAAGCATAACCTACCGGAAACTCCATGTCCATCCTCTTATCTTGAGACTTTTGGAGCGCCTCCGCGAGTAGGTCGATTCAAACACCGCGCGAACATCGTCCTCCTCCGGCTTCACTAGAAACGCGGTCCATTGCATGCTCCACGGGTCTTGTCGCACGCTTGGTACTCGTTCTCGCGGGCGATGACGGCTGCCGACACTGCAGTGGCTTCTGTCGGAAACCTGAAGAAGAATGAGCGCCCAACAAGAAAGCGATTGGTTGCGAATTCGGAAGGGAGGGCGGAGCACCGAGGTAGCGCAAAGTTGATCTCGAATTCGGTATTTTCGTGGACACGGAGGTGGAGCTCCTGGCTTGTCATGTGAAGGTCAGGGCTCCGAGCATTGGAAGCGGCGAAAGGAAAGAGACAGATGGGATCCCGGAGAGGTTCAGGCACTCGAATGTCCTTCCTTCTGAGATACAGGGAGTTCTTCGGATAGAGAAGTTCTCAGCGGCAATAGCGTAATTGAGAAGAGATTGAGTAATCGAGCGAGAGACTCCCCTCTGGACCTACCATACCTCCACCACACCCTCGATTCCCCGACCACGGCATGGCGCCGCCTAAAATATACGATTCCTGAAGCCTGAGTCTCCCGATAGATCTCTCGAGCTCCAGGTAAGAACTCGAGGGAGGTTCCGGACCCTGTACCGGACACTGCCGATACAGCCCTATCCAAAGTCCTTCGAGGCAGGTCGTCCTACGCCGCAGAGAGCAGGGCAGGTCGTCCTACGCCGCAGAGAGCAGGGCAGGTCTATGGTTGACAATCCCACACAATAGTCCAAATCTCACACACGCGGAGCTCATCGCAACTGCGAACCGTCCTTCTATGCCTACCGTTTGGAAACGCGACGCGGAGCCTTGCTGGAGCGAACGTCCTATCTCTTACGAACCCCTCGACGGATTTCGTATCGCTCACGGGAAAGATGCAGGGAGAATGATTCCACATTCAGAGAAAGCATGCGTTCTGTCCTGTCAGACCCGTGAGTGTCTCCGGTAGCAAACGACATTCGCGCGGGACGGCCCTCCGATTCTTGTAACGTCGCGGTCGCCGCCCGGAGCTTCATCCATTCGAAACGAGCCTCCTATGTCAAGCGATGACCCGCTGCGATACCAGGCCGGGAGCAGGAAAACTCCTGGATGGAGGCGAAATCGTTCAGGTTCACATACCGAGCACGCATCTGTCACGGGCGCGAAAAAGCGGAAAAATCTCCCGAGGGCTGTTCTCCTCCCTGGACTTCCAAACGAAGTTTCAGAGACCACGATGATCTCTTCACGCGGTCTGCGTCAGTCAGTTTTCGAACGCTCAGAGAACTTCTCGGCTGGCAAACAGATGACGTGAGTCCCCACTGATTCACTTGGGCCACTACGCCGTCTCCCAGTGATTCCCTCTTTCTCTCTCGAGCACTTTTAGAGCAGTTTTATCTTTATGGCCGCGAAGCTGCATAGCCGAACAGTTATGCATTCATCGATTCCTCCAGGTGCGTGAATGGTGTTCCGTCGCGAATTTTCCTGCTTGGACTGAGTGCCGCCGACGTCCGATGAGTTGTGATCGAGTTCGACATGAATGATTAATGATTATCATTTTGAAGTGCTCCAAGCACACTGATTCTACGAGGAATGAGAGGGAAGATGTGAACGAGTCATCGCTCGGAGCATTCCTCAGGAGTTGGCCGCTTAATTCATCGTTCCCTCCCGGTGCGATCTCTCTTTGTTCGTCTGTCTGTCTGTCCGCCCGGTGTGCGCGACCGAATCCTCCACCGGAGAAGAAAAAGGCTCATTCAGACGAAGCCGCGAACGATATTCCGTCGAGGTAATTGAGGCTCCGTGGCGTTGTGACCGAACGCTGGTCGCAACAGTTCCACTCTTGATGGCGTGTTTTAGATTTTCTGTAACGCCATCACCACAGCCTCCTTCTCTCTCAGAGCTGTTCAGGATCACGACTCTTCTGTGCGGACACTGTCACGGTGACGTGGGCGATGGAGCAAGAAAATAAACTTGATTTCGGGAACGCCGAGTGCGGATCTAGCCGAAGTCTAAAGCAGCAAATTAGCGTCCGGGCGACTTGAGTTGATTTCTCGTTTCGACTCCAAGAGGAAATCGACCGCACCGAAGAGCTCAGCGTTGCTCGTTTCGTTTCTGATGCCCTCTCCCTGCCCAGCGTCTACCTGTGCGCCGCATCAGAAGTGCAGCAGATGCAACAGTTCGTCACAGACAAACATCACAATACACTTGTTGTGAAGAAGTTTAAAGCCTCGGCGATCTTTCGAAAAAGGTGTGATTTGTATGTGAACAACTTCTGGAGCCCATCGCGACTTCGGACCCGGTGTGCCTCCCAAATACTCGACTTACGGTCGTCTCCCAGCGTCGACGTAGGTAGACGGAGCGGTTTACGTAGATCGTTTCGGATCATTTGAATTCAGAGATCTTCGCTTCTTGATCGCGAAGCGGTCTTCCTGCTCTGACCCTCATTGTCCGATATCCTCGTCCAGACTCGTAGATCGGCTTTATTTGCTCAGTGTGGAGGTTTCCTCAAGTGCTGCAGTGACTCCGGGGAGTGGATCCAGTCTGAAGGTCTGAATGCGCAAGCTGCCGAAGTCACGCAGCTCGGAATTATACCCGAGCGATTTCCATCGAGTTCTCTCTCATTCGATTCCTGTCTACGATAGTCTCCCTCCTCTCATCGATGGCTCCTTGATACCGAATTCCTTAACCCTATTGATTAAGTGCCTCACTGAGCGACTGCTTCTGCTGTTCCGTCCCCCTCCTCCGGCAGGGCCCGCTTCCCTTATCGATCGCAGGGCTGGGGTTTCCAGCCCATCCGATCAACAGCTCGCCAGCCCAGACGCAGGATCGGTGAAGTGGTGAATCGATGCGCACTCCCTCCTCTCCGAGACAGTAAACTCTGACGAAGACGCGGCGCTTTGCTCTTGGTTTTCTCGATCCATGTCTTGTTTCGAGGTCCTGCCAATTTTGTCCGCAGCCTTACTCTCTCTAAGCCATTTGTTTCCGCGCTCGTCGCGCGTTGCTCCTTGCGGCTGCTGCCGTTGCTGTATTGGTCCAGCTGTGGAGCTAACGCGAGGCAGCGGAATGCTTCTATTACGATCGGCCTAACCCAGACTTGAATGGATGCTGTTGGTCCGTCGATTCCTCCGAATCGCATCTGGTATGGTATCGGTAGGATTATTGACCGATCGGTCGCACAGGAGCGAATTCTACCGTGTCGCCAGATTCGGTTTGTCAAGCGTGATTCGCGCGAGATAGGGCTTCGATATGCGGGAAGGCAGAGTTGGCCGCGAGAGATAGAAATTAGGTCATCAATCTAGCGGTTTGTCGAAATACATCGATAGATAATTCGAGCAGCAGCCTTTCTAGTGAGCAACTTGAGGAATCTCAGTACCCAACGTACTAATGCCGCGAATGGATACGTCGCTCCCGATGGGGAGGACGGAAATTTCTGGAAATAAAGTTGATGTTCTCCTGTCTCGATGGGATAGTACGAGTGTAGGGTCCTCTTAGAGGTAGATGGTCGGTAGTACTCACTAGTCTCCGTTTGATCGTTGTGATTGGTTGGGAGCATTCAAAGTGATTTCAATGTATTTTTCTTACCTATCTCCGCAGGGTTTCGCTTTGGTGATGAGGTGGACATGGTGGTGCTGGATACGGTGCTTTGTAGTTGACTGATTAATTGACTGTGAAATTGTACTGCTGCTACTGTTGCCGCCGCTGCTGCTGGAGTGAGCTGCTCAACAGATCGAAAAACTCTTTTGGTGAAGGATGGAACACCCTCGTTATGCTGTGCTTCTATGGGCGGTGACAGCAGGATCTCAGGGAGATTCGCTGGGATCGGACGAAACTGATACTGTTGCTTTGGGCTGGAGCGTTCTCGATCTCTCTAACAGCAAGGTATGCTTGAACATGCGCCATGATTTTAGGTCTCGACTATATGGTCAATTCCAGAGTACCGTATGGGCTCTCTCGGATAAATCATTCATTCCAGCTTTAGAGTGCAAGCATAAATAAAACGTCGAGTCTGTTCCCAATAGTCTCATAGGATATGGAAGAAAAATGAATTCGCGACCCGAGTGATTCGGTGTGATATCCGGAGTGTTTGACGGGAGGCGATAAAAAATTTTGAGCTCCCCTTGATCAATCATCGAGTGAAGAGCGCTCTCTCAATGACCAAATCGCATCAGAGAAATTCGATGCACCGAAATATCTCGAATGCGGAGGAAATCTCTTGAGGTACTCGATCCGAGCGGCATCGAAGCTAAACTATCCCAGTCTATCATCCCGACAAGTGATATATTCTGGCTCCCGTAATGTGGAACTTCCCGAGGGATCGGGAGGTGTATTGACTCGAAGATAGACTCTCGTTTCCTTCGAGATTTCGAGACGGACTCATATCATGAGGAACATGAGGAGAGCACCGCGCTCCCAGAATGAACTTAATCGATTTGAGTGACCCGGTTCCCTCTCCGGGGACCGAGGAAGAGAGTCGCGAACATTGAGAGCGCTTCCATCAATCCCTTCTCGGGGAAGCGCCGTGGATAATTCCTCGGGCAACAGGGGGCTATCAAATGGGATACAGTAAAAGCTCGTTATAACGACCCCCATTAAAACGAACTTCTCGGTACAACGAACAAGGAATTTCTCCTCCTTTGGCCAGCTCGCCACAGGGATAGTGTTGAGCAGCATCCCTTACAGCGAAATTTCGGTACAACGAACCAGTTTCGTCGGTCCCTTCGTGTTCGTAGTAACGAGCTTTTACTGTACTGATATATGCATCGTCGAGTTCAAAGAGAAAAACTCAGGAAAATTCGAGGTCTCCATCACCTCTCCCGTCCGCTCGAGAGGGAAACATCCTCCAAAGAATTCGCGACGTTCCATGTCGTGATCAAGCGAACCGTACGAGTGTCGACGACGCCGGTGGTCGAGATCTACGAATCGTTGGAAAGAAAGCACGTTGGACTGGAAGGGGGTACGAATGCAGTCATATGGCGATCGCTGAGTCGTCGAGCTCCTTGCTCACCGCCGCGACTTCCGATATGATCGACGTTTTTCCGTCGCACGCAGGAACCCTCCACGGATTCGCGCTCGGGTTTTCGCCGAAAGCGTCGACCTCTTTCCCCTCTTCGATACTGAGAGCCTGGACTCCGTTCACGGAAACGATGCCCTGGGAGGGTTCCAGTGAAATATTCGGGATCTCGCCTCAGATCAGTGGAGGCACGCCATAGTATTTCTTTGGATGTGATTGAAGTCCGGAGCTTCTTTCTGTTTTTTTTGCATTCTGTCATCAGAGGGTGCATCGACCCCTTACGTCGGCTGGACATCAGGAGAAGAGGCAGGAGGAAACTCAACCGAGCAGCACAAACCGACGAGTGAACCGAACGACCAACCGAGCAGCGAGCGAGCGAACGACCGACCGAAACTCGCGAAGTGAGCGGAGCGATCCGTCCGCGAGCTGCTGGCCAGAAGCATCCGACGAAAGACAGCGAAGAAAGCCAAAGAGAACGAACGCAACGCAACACAGAAAACAGAAAACCGTCGACCAGTCGAAGCCGGCCGTGGTCGCCGCGGAGCGAACACCGCAAGGAGCAGAAAACTTGAAAGAGAGGCCGGACGATGACTTCGTGTTGTTGGCCTCTGCTACTTTCATCATGCTCGCTCTGTTGCCAAAGTAGCCGAGCGAGAATGTAGCGAGCGCGAGCCGAAATCATTGGAATCAAATTCCTCAGGAAAAGTACGATCAGCAGACTGAGCTTTCAGTCTACTCAATTCAAGGCTGCAGCGGAAATGCTCCCGATGTATTGCAAAGGTTTTTTCATCGTTGGCGACTTCTCCGCCCGAAAAAAGTGCTAAAGACACCGGCTCGCTGCCGATCGTCACGTTCATCGAATCTCTTACTTTTACTCCGAGTTCGTCAGAGGGCAGCTCAAACCTCTCGCCCGAGAATCCAGATCGAGCGCGGGGGTTGGAAATCAAACAATCTCCATTTATAATGCTGAGTGAGGCTAGACACGAACGACTTCAAGGTGGCACCTTGGTTGAGGAGTCCGATCAATCCCATGGAGCCGTTCGCGAAGCACGAAGTTCATCATCCGAAACCCGTTTTGACGTCTTCTGTCTTTCGAGGAGCGTCTGCCTCAAACCCTTCGATCCATTCGACTCCACCATCTTCGGCACTGTTTCGAGATTCGGAATGGCTTTCGCGGCGTCGGGAGGTGTGCTCTCGAGCATGGACATCGAGAGGCTCAATGACTGCTTAGAGCAGCGTTTCTCAAACTAGGGAGACGCGTCTCCCGGCGGAGACGCAGGAGAAGTACAGGGGAGACGCGGGAGGAGTTCAGGGGAGACGCGGGAGAAGTTCCGAGGAGACGCGGGAGAAGTTCAGGGTAGACGCGGGAGTAGTTCAGGGGAGACGCGGAGGATCTCCAGAATTCCCAACCGATCCATTTTTCGTCTCAGAGAGGTCACCCAGCTCATTGCTAGACTACAATTCTTCTTCAAGTCGTCAATCATTGTACGATTGATCGAGGAAGACATATTCCATGGAGAAAACGGCACTCTGAAAGTTCAGGTCGAAACTTTACATCAGATGTACGGTGATCTCCTTGGGAGACGCGAGCGACCCTCATGAGGCTTAGGGGAGACGTGAGGGAGAAAAGTTTGAGAACCGCTGGATTAGAGGAAAAAAAGTTCACTAAGGCGTGTTTTACGCAATGGAGCACTGACTGTTCCTCGATCATGGAAACCCCGTCCAGGCTCCATGTAGAATCGGGAGGACACCGATTGAATAAAGAAAACTTCACCTCGGACGGAACCGAATCATGTCCGAATCATGTCAGGATCCTCTGGGGCAATCGACAATGCGTTTTACGTCCAAACTTACGGTAGTGTCTCTCACACTACCTGCCAGGGGCTTTTCCGAATCGATTGATCGGGTTCATCAGTCTAATTGGAGGCATGATAAAATGGGGTTTGAGGGTCGAATTTTACCACCCGAATGGAACGTCTCTCCAGGGTGAACACGAGATTCGTTCCTTATACTATCCTATGTATTATAACTCGCGAGATCAGACTACACGATCGAATATACAGTACTGCCAAGAAGTTTCAAGGCACCCTCGAATTTAGTTGAAAATAGAGTTTTAGACCAAATGAATCCCAATCGAGCGACAGGTAGATGAAGACGAAAGCGGCGTGGTCCCTTGCCGCAGCCAACTTCTTTGTCGGCAGCACTTCCTCTACGCTAATCTCGGGAAAGGGATTCGGACGGGGAGGCGATTTCTCCGGAGATGGGCACAGGGTCTCCATAAAAGAGCAGTCCCCATCAGCAGACTGAGTTCTCAGCCGATGTGCTAGCCGATATCTCCGATCGATATCGAGAAAAATGAATCATGATTCAGCAAATTTTTATTCTCGCGAAGAACGCTCTAGATCTTGTTTTCTTCGAAGAACCCGCCCTGAGCAATCTCTCGGTATTTGAATCCCGCTCTGTGCAAGGCAATTAATGCGGATCTCTTCTCCGTGGAAAGTTGAGCTCGGGGTGCGGTCGACTGTCAACTTCTTCACTATCAACGATCGAATACAATGGGAGCGACGAGCTTTCATATTGACTCTACGGGCTTGACGTTGCTTGAATATGAGACTCCTTGGTAGGAGACCTCCGCACCCGACGGGAAATAACGGCCGGCTCCGAGGGAGTTGAACCTAAGATCTCCAAGAAGATGGCAGGTTGCATCGGTAGCGTTGATCACTCGGCCACCACGCGAGCCTTTAATGAGTAATATTTTTGTCACTGACGTGTCAGGAATGCGACGTAGGACTTCTACACGCGCTCGGTTGTGCAGTGTAACGGAAATTAGTGTGCGGTTAAGCCTAGAGTTCCAGGAGGCGCGTCAAAATTTGAACAACTCTCGGGTGAGGTCGGTACGGACTGCGTTTAATTTTTTTTTAGGGGTTGGAGTGGGAATATCGAAATGAAATTCGGCTGGAAGCTCCCTCTATCGATGGGGAATATCCCCTGCTAATATTGAGGCCCTCCCATCTTCCCTTCGAAAATCGCATTCTCGACCGGGTCGCTCTTCCGAGCATAGCACAGTAGAGGTGATCCTGACGATGAAGTTGACCATGGCGACGGGTCACATAGCTCTCTTCCTCATCAACCTGACGCCAAATACTGCTCCATATCCGTCTCAAACTCGATTTTCAGCCCATATAGTGACTGCGTCGAAACTTCTTGGCGGTACTGTACGTACGATTTGTGCATTCACGGAGATATCCGCGTAGTCCGCAGCCTAGGTATTCATGCATGGTCGATCTCATGGAAGGGGTCGGGGACTAGGCGACACTTCCGTTTTGGTGTGTTGTGAACCTAGGGTGTCATTTCCAGGTCGTCCTCTCTCAAGTGGACTATGTCAAACCGCAGACTGTCGATATAAACGATAACGTGCAACTGAGCGATGAGTGCAAGGAGTGCAATGTGACGGAGGAAAATATCAGAGAGGCCAGATCGCTGGAACAGGTATGATTTACGATCGTAGGCGTTTTCGGAAAAATTTATGTGCTACCCGGTGAGGCAGTCCGGCGAAGCGGATTTAGAATCATCGGTCGAAACGAAAGTCGGTTTTGAACGCTAAACGGCGACTGTTTGCGCAGGCCATCGAGGAGTTCATCGGTCTGATCGAGAGCCGCCACGATTGCAATCATCCCACTGATTTTCAGCTGATCACAGACGGTCAACTGCATCTCAGACAGGTCGGCAGAGCGATCGCGTGCATCTCAAGGATGGATAATGTTGGAATGATACCATGAAGACGAAGTATATGTATACGTATACGAGAGCAAAGTTTGAGCTTCAGCTCCTTCTCCACAGGTTCTCCAACCCGAGGCGATCCGTCACCGTGTACAGTTGCCGAGCTGTTTTTTTTCGTTCTTCGATCTCAGGAAAGAATTTTCCCGTTTCTACAATGCTGAATCCCCCAACAGCATCGCGGATATGCTCAATTGTGAGTTTGATTCCGAACCTTGTCTCGTTTGTCCAAATAGCCTACGTTTTTCTTCGAGCGACTCTCTCTCTCGGGAGAACAGCGCTGAATCGGGCAAGAAATATTGAAGCGACGATATTCCCACCTTGCTTCAGATCTGTCTCTCGAAGCCGATGGGAGCGCAGAGTTCATTCCTCGTCAGCTCCAGAACATGTCACAGATCGTTTGCCGCATGCTCGGCGACGGTAAGCGGAATAGCTTTTGGAAATTCCTGCCGAGTCATTCCAGTTTCGAACATGAATTGTTCGGCTCCGCGTGTAGCCCGGAGCTCAATAAATTTTTCCTACAGGACATAAATTTATGGAGCCAGAAAACATTCTCCGACGGCTGGAACCTGGATTATAGTAAGAGATTTCCCGATTTTCTGTCTTTTTCTCAACGGCATGGTATCAGGTGTTTCCCTATGGAACTGCACGATCTTTCCGAGGAGGTTTGGAAACGCACGACGGCGATCTCATGGTTTTACGGCCAGAAAAAAAGCTCTTACCGCCTGTGTGTCCGTGAAATGTTCGAATGTTAGCTCGCGGGTATCGCTAGCGGAGGTGCATACTTCGGGGGGGAGGAAGCTGGCTCAACGGATTTCTGGGAGATTACAAATGTTCCAGAACAAAATGTGAAGTTCCACGGGCATACACCCAATATTCATTCTTAATCTGCTAGGGAGAGCTGACAATTGTAAAACAGATGGAATTTGCAGTTCCAAGAGTGAAACTATAGACAGCGGATGTGTAGCTCGAGCTAGAGGTCTGCCATGGCAAAGTTCCGATCAGGACATCGCTAATTTCTTTCGAGGACTCAATATAGTCAAGTGAGTTCCCCATCGCGGTTCTGGAAACCTGCCGCGGATACTGCGGCACTCCATTGGAATTCAGCTCTGGTAACCTCGCCGCGCTCTTTACAGGGGAGGAGTGGCACTGTGTCTCACGGCGATGGGACGCCGGAACGGCGAAGCGCTGATTCGCTTCGAGAGCCAAGAGCACAGAGATCTGGCCTTGAAACGACATCGACATCATATCGGACAACGATACATAGAAGTTTACCGAGCTAATGGCGAAGACTTCCTCAATGTCGCTGGCTGTAAGTTCGAATCGTCCGACCTTGTAAAACGTTACCGTCCTCGCGCGCCATCCGAAGGAACAATGCATCAGTGACGGTGGTCGCGTGATCGATGAATTCAAATTCGACCATCAGATTCGATTCTCACGAGGGAGCCTCGGGTGACGTCGGGCATAATCGGGACCACTAGGTAGACTATTGAGGAGCTCTCCGAGGCCGGAAACTCCCGTTGGCGGAGTTCGTTTTCTCAAGATCAGCCTCCCGAGAACCTCGGACGCACCAGTTCGATTGCAGCTTTCAGAGTTCGGTGTGGCAAGGAATTGATGCTATCAATTTCCGTGTCGTATCCCAGCCAACCGCGATACACGAGCGTTTCGCTCTCAATAGCCGATGTGATCGACTACCGCTCATGCATTCGTTCTATCGAGGTTCATGTAGCGGTGGTCCGAGAGCTGAGGGCTCAGAGTCCCTGTGTCGAATACGAGTTCGGACTAAAAGACCTTTGGAGGCGACAGGAGACTCTCTCACTTAAGAATGGGAACGAAACGAAAATGGTGCTCCCTCGGATGATTCGTGTTGGAGCTCAAACCTCGCATCGATCAGTAAACAGTCTCCTTTGTTCCGATCCTGTGACATCGTCTCCGAGCCCGCATAAGGATCTCTCGAGCGAATCGTCCGATCCACGGCAAGAGTACGAGCGACTTCACAGGGAGCCTTGCCGCCCCGATCGATCATTCTTCCTGGGACGGCGAACTCCCCCTCGTTCCATGACCTGGGATTCGACATGGATCCCTTTCGCTGTTGATTCATCCAGAGATGGGAGGCAGCCGTAGAGCATCTAAACGAGCCGCCCCCTCTGAAAATTCATGGAGGGGCTGCCCCGGTTCGGGAATCGCCTTCAAGATGTCACCTGACTCACGGCTCTGTGAGGCGCGAGATCCCAGCCCTAGCCTTGGCAATCTCCCGAATCCGAGTGCAAAGCCTCAGATGTCGACTCGTGGTTTTGAAGAATGCTTCTCAGTTCCATCAAACTGTTTCTGGCTGTCCTCCGCAGTGTTTTCTTCTCCCTTGCCGACGCCGTATCACCTTATCTCGGGCGCTATCTTCCCTCGCACCACTTCCTCTCACTCAGTTAGTCCACGAGTACCTTAGTGGACGCTTAGAACGCTGCGCAAGAACCGAGATCTTACCACAACTGTTTAAAAAGCGTTTTATGCTTACGCTAGACGTGAGCGACGACGGGCGACGGACTATAAGGAAAGCATCCCACCTCTTTTCGAGCACGTTTAGCGAGCTCTGTCTATGCCTTTGATTCCATGCGATTCGGGGCCGTGAATTCCGCTCGAAAATAGCGATTTCGTCAAGTTACGAAAATGGATTCTCCCGGAAACTTTGCCTACCCCTTTCCGGGTCTCCAGGCCGGTGCTTCGGCGGAAGAACTCGCCATTATTGAGCAAACGTACCAGGCTCTCCTCTCGCAAATAATTCGTAAGTTCCCGCGCCTAAATATCCAGGTCAAAGAGAGGTAGGCTAGATAGAATTTCTCTCGCGTTTCGTGGCTGAAGAACGCCTGAGAGACGTCGGCGTCGCTCGAGCGGACGGCGTCGCGTCGCTTACCGCAAGGGGATCCGCGCGTCGGTCAAGGGGAATATGCAGGTTCCGAGCTAGATGATGGATCGGGGCCTATACGCTTCTTGAATTGATCTCCGGAAATGATTCCTCGGACGGAACGATGCGGGACAGGGAAGCGTTCTGGAAAGAATTCAAGCTTGGGGGAAAGATTCTTCTGAGCCTCTCGGATCCACGGCGCGATTTTCGGACAGAACCCATCGGGACACTCCAAGTTTCCATGAATCGTCTGCTCAGACGCTGCAGGCACGTGTCGGACTGTTGGACATGATCGCTCGAGCATGCGCTGCAGTCGAAATTCGATGTCAAGCGGAATGGAAGGTTTCGATAATCCGATCGAGATGCCCGGCTGGGAAATGGGGAGAATGGGCCCGCTCCACCGTCTGAGTTTCGTCGATTCCTTCCAGGCAATAATAATGAGGCTCAAGCTTTCCTCTCCCGGGGCGGTCAGGTCATCGTGCGTATGAGAGGTCTTCCTTACGATTGCACCGCGAAACAGATCTTGGACTTCTTCGCTCAATCAGACAATCCCATTCAAGTTCTGAACAATGAGGAAGGTAAGAGATACGCAGATCTCAGCGTATGGGACACGTTGGGAACGCTCGGTGTCTGGCACTGTTCCGTATCGATCGGCATTGGAAACATCGCGCAGTTTCTGGAGAGAATTTTTTGCAGGGATTCTTTTCGTCAAAAAGCCGGATGGGAGAGCGACTGGTGATGCCTTCGTTTTATTCGCCACAGAAGAAGCAGCATACAGAGCTCTCGACAAGCACCGAGAAATTATCGGGGCTCGGTGGGTTTCGCAATCTCTAGTTTTGGAGGAGCTTCGAAATGTCAGGGCATTTGATGAGCAGCCGAGCGAGCGCTGATCATTACTCCCTTACAGGTATATCGAGCTCTTCAGGAGCTCGACTGCAGAAGTTCAACAAGTGCTGAACCGAACCATGGAAGCACCTTATTTGGAGTCCCAAGTCCCACCTGCAACGACGAGTCCCCTGCTCGGGAACCTGCCACAGGTGAGGAAGACCTCTTGGAGGACTCGAGTATTATCACTTCATACATACAGAAGTCCACGCCCTGGAGTGTTATAATATATTCTGATTCTAATATTGATTTTAGGTACCTTTGATGCCTCCACCCTGGCTCCAAGGACCCCAAGTTCAGATGGCACGAAGGGATTGCATCCGTCTGCGAGGCTTGCCCTATGAAGCACAAGTGGAACATATTGTGGATTTCCTCGGGAAGTTTGCCACAAATATCGCCTACCAGGGAGTGCATATGGTACACAACGCTCAGGTGGGTTCCGCTTACGATAGACTCCGCTCCAATCCTCTTTGCCATGGAATGGAAACTTGATGTTTGATCGAATTTTCATGTCTGTGTTGTTCAAGTATTGATGCTGTTATTCCTCAATCCGTAGGGTCAGCCTTCGGGAGAGGCTTTCATTCAGATGGATTCGGAGCAGAGCGCTTTCCTGACCGCCACTCAGAGACATCACAGATACTTGGTGATCGATAAAAACAGAGATACATAGAAGTTTTCCAATGTTCTCTAGAGGACATGCTTCTGGTGAGTGGAGTATCCCTCGACCCATGATGATTCCTCCAATGAGACGCTCCTGATACAGAGACCATTCCAATCCGAAACCTACTGATAGCCGGAATTCCGTCCGCAGGTATTACAAGGTGTTCAAGGTCAACCTGCTCCCACGACGCCCGTCAACGCGCTCGCGGCCGCTCCCGCTCCCGACCTGGGGTAATTTTCCTCAATGAAATTCACAGCGAGGATCATTGAAGTCCACATAATTGATCCGCTTAAACCTAATTATGGGCAATATGTGTTTTCCAGATGGTCGAGTGATCCATTCGGAAGAATCTCAGCCATACGCTCGCGGATCGCGTCTCTCGGGGGATTACTACCGCTGCATTTGTCACCCCTGTACTCCAAGCACCCAGCGGCTGCAGCCGCGGCGGCTGCTGCTGCAGCGTCCGTCGCCCAGAACGGTCCGAATCGGGTATCGCCCACGTCGCCCCTGAATCGAGTTTCGCCCCTTCTGTTGCCTTCCTTCCCCCTGCCGATGTTGCTATCGCAGGCGACCCCACCTCAATACTATCCGACGACTCAGCAGCAGCAAGCTGCGGTTGCCGCCGCGGCGTCCCTGTCTCATCTGGTCTCCCAACAGAACGGTACTTTACAATAGGCTCGTCTGCTAAACTTCTTTATCGGGCGGTCGATTTTCTCGGGACTATTCTTCTGTCGGACACTGCATGATCGGGCTAGTACCTAGGGCATTGACTGGTATGCTACCGCTGCAAGGAGCGAGCGAATGAGAGGAAAAGTCTACTTATACACAAACGCTCCAAATATCAAGTGACTGAGCTGCAGAAGACGTCCCATGATGGAGGTTGGGGAATAGTGTTGTCGGCGGAGTCGGTTGGGTGTAATTCGGCACTGGATAACAACAGACGCACGTAAGGTGATGGTTCAATTCAAACTCCTGGGCTTGTCTGTTGTATAAATGTAACAACTTTGCCTTCCGCGGTCTTGTCTTCTCGCTCAATTCGAGTTTCTCGTCCCACCCTCTGTAATCAATCAGTGGGTCGCTTCCTCCAGGAGGCCCTTCCCCGAGTGACGAGATGAAGCCCTGACAGGGTCAGCGAGTTTTCACAGTAATAGGTCAGGACTCGATCTTCCCTGTGACAGTCCGTCGGTTCAGGTTCTCGTGCCGTGTTTAATTAGAAAATCCATTTCGATTTACAGCTTATGCGAGTCTGTACGCCAATACCGCGCAGTGTTAGACAGCTTTCGCCGGAGATCCTGCCAGCCTATGGGGAGTGTGAATATTAGTTGATCGCTAGTTCCAAGATGAAAGCCCCACACGAAACATCAGGTTGGCCGAACGACACTTACTGAGTGTTTTCGAATGCGTCGGTCAGACGATCCTGGCAATTCAAGCACCGGAATTTAGACTCAAAACTTGCTCATGAGGATCAGCATGTCCGTCATGTGTGACGAGAGAGAAAACCATTCGAGCCATCATTACCACCGGCGAATGACGGAGCTTTCTGATGCTCGGATGCGATCCGTAAATGAAAACGTACAGGTAGTGGTTGAGCTCAATCCTCATGAAGTTTCACTCAGTTTATCAAGGATTCTGCCGCGAATCGGGCTTCCGCCTGTGAACGCTATATTTCGTATAGTTCATTGAGGCCTTGCCGCTGCTTCTGCAATACCCTCGCACGAGAACGCTCATCGAGTTCGAGGCTCGTCAAATTCGACCCGCTGATTAGCGAAGTCGACTCGGGACAGTTTTATTTGCGGCTCGCTTCGCGAATGATTCAGGGCTTAATCAGATACGTGATTCGCGACCAGTCATCCTTTTCTACCTTCAAATTGCAAGCATCCCATCGCAATTGAAGGGGACCAGTCGCAGCCCCTCTTCTCTCAATCTTGCTCCAGGCTTTCGATACGGAATGATCCCTAAGCCTCAGTCTAGGTTACGTATACGTGCAATATATGTTTACGAGATGCATTCCAAAAAGTGTATTATTTACAAGATTCAACCGAGGTACCTAACAGTGTTCGACGATGACTCTCGTACTTTGGCGAAAACTTGCTTTCTATACAGAGAATTAATAACTGCGATTTCGCGTTTAGTTGCAATACCTCCAGATTTAGACGATAATTATAATTATTTCGTCGATGATAGTAATAATTAAAGAGGAAACAAGCCCTATACGACCTCAAGTGGATACCTCAAACATGCTTCCGCGGGAGCGATTACGATCACGATCTTGATTGCTAGCCGGAGACCTCAACCGCAGGAACTCCGAGGAGAATTTTCTTAGCTATTTATCGCCATTCCGGTTCACTGCTCCAACATATTCAATGAATTGTATTGGACTGTGTTCTGTGTCGAAGCAATGTGAATTCGCAAGGATTGAGAATAAATACATGCGCTTACCAAGAATCGTCTTTAATTCGCCATTCGGACCCGGCTGACGAAACTTGCTTCCTCGCCAAATCCGATCTCGATGCGGACTTTTTCGCTGGGAATCTGTGAGCAGAAAATGGAGGCGAGGAGACCCCCTTCCTTAAGTTGTTTCGCCAGGCTAGAGCTCGAGAGGCAGCAAAATCGATGTCGAGCGATTGCTCATCAGGTCATCTGTGTAAATCGCCTTGCGCATTGCCCTCGCGCTGTAGGTACCTTTCATGGAGGCTCAGAACATTCCATAGTCCTGGCGTCACGCGCCCGTGATGGCGGAACCCCAAGTGGCATGATATGTGTATACCAAAGCTAGCCCTCGATTGTCTAGTTTTGACAGTCCATGCGTAGGTGTCGTTCTCCTTCCTATGGTATGGTAAATATCGATCAAATGTATCCGAAGCTCGGATCTCAGTTGCCAGCAGGAGAGATGAACCGATCGGGAGCACCAGCTCACACCGGCAGTTCCAGCTTCAATACCTAACAAAAAAATTTCACTGGATGACACTGCGAAAGTCCGGTTTATCGTACAAAAACTGGATCAAGACGCATTCCAGAAATACGACGCCCATATACTCCCGAAAAAGTACTCCGATTTGAATTTCGCAGACACGATCTCAAAACTCAAGGAACTGTTTGGACACCGAGGGTCGGAGTTCGCCCGAAGGTATCAGTATTTCCAAAGTAAATGCGAGAATACCAGTGGAGGAACCTTCGACGATTATACTGGGTTAGTCAACAAACGACACGAACTATCAAATATGTCGAAGATCACGGCTGACCAGATGAAGTGTTTGGTGTGGATCTGTGGCCTCAAGGGTTCCGAACACAACGACGTTCGGGAACTCGCCTTACAATTCATCGAGGACAAACCAGAGTCCACACTGAGCCAACTTCATCAACATGTGAAAAATTTCACAAGGCAACAGAGCACTTCGCGTTCGATCGCTGGCGGGAGTCTACATGAGATCCACAAGGTGAACATAGAGAAACCATCACGTCCTTGCCGCGGATGCGGAAAGATGCACTTCAGAGAAGCCTGTCCTTTCCGTGACAAATCCCGTCGGAACTGCGAAGGAAAAGGCCACATCGCAGCGGTGTGCTACAAGAAACGACAAGAGAGCTCAACTGCGAACAAGAATTTCAGTTCGAAGAAACATCCGAAACACAAAAATAGGGACGGGAGCACGAAGAAAGACGTACATACAATTGAAGTACAAGGATTCCACTCTTCGGCATCAGATGGAAGCAGGATCATGAAGGATGTAGTGATCAATGGCACCAGGTTGCCCATGAAGATGGACACGGGCGCAGACGTCACTGTCATCAGCGAGAACGACTGGAAGTCGCTGGGGAAACCGCGCCTGTTTCCGAGCGAACGCGTCATGAAAGCCGCAAACGAGGGCGAGCTAGACTGCTTGGGCTACTTCAAATGCAAATTCACAGTCGACAAACAGACGGCCAACGGACGCTGTTACGTTGTCAGACACCCATACAGACTCCTTGGGTGCGAATGGCTACAACAGAACGAGCGTCTCTGGCGATTACTGAAGGGGGACGTGTCGCTTTCAATACAACTTATCGAAAACGAAGATTTAGATAAGGAGAAAAAAAAACTGACTGAGTCACTCAAGGCGGAGTACGCGGATGTCTTTGCGACTGGTCTTGGAAAATGCACAAAGATGAAGGCATTCTTCAAACTCAAAGAAGACGTTACGCCAGTGTTCCGAAAGAGTCGGCCTGTTCCTTACGCAAGTCTGCCGAAGCTGGAAGCCGAACTAGACCGATTGGTCAGCAACGAGGTGATCTCACCGGTCACACATTCCGATTTTGCTGCACCAGTGGTCATCGTCAAGAAGAAGACTGGCGACATAAGATTGTGTGCAGATTACAGCACGGGGCTGAATGAGAGACTCCAAGACCACCACCATCCACTACCAACCGCAGAAGACATTTTCACGAAATTGAATGGGGGTGTCTACTTCTCGACAGTGGACCTCGCTGAAGCTTACCTCCAGATCGAGGTAAGGGACGATTGTAAGAAGATGTTATGCATCAATACGCCTAAGGGGCTCTTTCAATACAATCGGCTCCCGTTCGGTGTCAAGACGGCCCCAGCAACATTTCAACAAATGATCGATACGATGATCACGGGGGTTCCCAATACGGCAGCATATCTCGATGATATTGTCGTAACTGGCAAAGACCTGAGGGAACACAACGAGTCCATCCACCAACTGTTCAAACGGATCGAGGAGTATGGTCTGAGGGTTCGGCTCGAGAAATGCTCTTTCTTGCAAAGGGAGATCAAGTTCTTAGGGCAGCGCATTACGGAAAACGGGAGGAAGCCGGACAAGGAAAAGATTGAAGCAATAATCAAGATGCCGGCACCGACAAACATCAGTGAGCTAAGGGCCTTGTTAGGCATGATAACATACTACAGCGCGTACATGCCTTCCACGCGAGAATTACGCGCCCCTCTCGATCAGCTCTTGAAGAAAGAGTCTAAGTTCGAATGGTCGGGAGCGTGCCAGAAGTCCCTCGACAAGCTGAAAACCCTTCTACAGTCGGATCTATTCCTTACACACTACGACCCTCGACTACCCCTGATCGTTGCGGCTGATGCCAGCAACTACGGCATCGGCGCTGTGCTGTCGCATCGATACCCGGATTCCACTGAGAAAGCAGTTTTCCACGCGTGCCGTTCACTGACCAGTGCGGAAAAAAATTATTCGCAGACGGAGAAAGAAGGTCTTGCGTTAATTTTCGCGTGTAAGAAATTCCACAAGTACATATACGGGCGCAAATTTCTACTACTCACGGACCATCGTCCATTGCTTGCAATTTTCGGCAACAAGTCCGGCGTCCCAGTATATTCGGCCAACAGACTTCAACGTTGGGCTACGATGCTGATTGGATATGACTTCGAAATCGAATACCGTCAGACGACGAAATTCGGCCAAGCAGATGGTCTCTCACGACTGATTGCTCAGCAGCAACACGACAAGGTCTCAGAGGACGTCGTGATCGGGTGCGTTGAGGCCGAGGTCTGTGCGGTGCTCGATGAATGCATCCGACGTATTCCGACAACTCATAAACAAATTCGGGAATACACATCGAAGGATAAATTGCTACAGGCAGTCCAGGAGAATATACGGAAAGACTGGCCTACGAGAGTGGACAAAGAGACTCCGCTCTGGTTCTTCTTCAACAGGCGAGATTCTTTGTCGATTGTCCAAGATTGCGTCATGCTTGAGGATCGAGTGGTTGTACCAGAAGCACTCCAAGTTCAAGTCCTTGAACAATTACATCTTGGTCATCCTGGTGTTTCAAGGATGAAGCGTCTCGCGAGAAGTTTTGTTATTGGCCCAAGCTCGATAAACAGGTCGAGGCGCTGGTGCGCGGATGGTTCGGCGTGTTCGGAGCTGAACAGAGACCCTCGGAAGGCACCGCTGCATCCCTGGGAAGCGTGTTCGAAGCCGTGGCAACGTTTGCATGCGGACTTCGCCGGTCCTTTGGACGGCCACATGTATCTGATCGTGGTCGATGCTTATTCGAAGTGGCCGGAGATTTTCGAGCTAAAATCTGCCACGGCAGCGTCGACGATAGACAAGTTCACCGCATTATGCGCTCGTTTTGGGAATCCGACCACTCTCGTCACTGATAATGGAGCGCAATTCAAAGCGAAGTCGTTCGAGAGTTTCTGTGAGAGTCGGGCAATACGTCATTTATGCGCTCCGGTTTGTCATCCGGCTTCGAACGGCCAAGCGGAGCGTTTCGTCGATATCTTCAAGCGGACGTTCAAGAAACTGCAAGGGGGGGAACAGGACGTGGAGACGCTCTGAACATTATGCTACAGACGTATCGGAACACGCCGAACCCTCAGGGGAAGACTCCGGCCGAGCTCTTCCTAGGTAGACCGGTCCGCACCGAGCTGAGCCTCTTACGCCCAGAGGTGGGTACCACGGAAAGTTCGGATCGACCCGCCCAAGCGAGCTCTTACAAGAGATACTTCGATCAGCGCCACGGTGTTAGAATGAGGACCTTCAAGGAACAGGATCTGGTCTGGGTCAAGGATTTCAGAAACCCGAACAAGCCCTGCTGGACCCCTGCTAGAGTGTTGCGTCACCGTGGTAAGGTGACCTACGACGTGGAAGCAGACGCCATGTATGGACCCGTCACGTGAACCAGCCTAAGGTCAGGACCCTTCCACTAATCTCAAATTCCTCTGATGATTCTGGTACCAATCGGTCTCTGCTCTTTGCCATCGCTCAAAGGACTCGGAAGCCGAACCCCGTACCCGTCTTCGGTGATACGGGCGTCCAAATCTCCCCGGCTGATGAGGCAAGAGGCAGCAGCGCGACCATGGATGGAATCGACGATGAAATTGGGTCGGACGAGTTTCGAGATGACAGGGAAGAGACGGCGTTTGAGCCGGAGGAATATTCGTCGACACCCGGGGAGCCGTCAACGTCAGAAGGCAGTCTGGTCTCGCGTTGGTTCAATGCATTGAGACCCCGGCACCTGATTCGACAGCCCTCGAGACTTGAGCTGGATCCGTCGGCGAAATCTTACGAAGGATAACGGTTCTCTTCTAGAAGGGGAGGTGTGGGAACGCGGGAGTTCCCCAAATAATAATCATTACTTTCAAGTCATTTGATGACGAATAAAAGGGCTAGGAATAAGCCCGGAACAATTCAGTTCCACCCTGCAACGACGAAGCTCTGTATCCGACTAGCGAAGTGAGAGTTATCACAGTGTCGTTCTCCTTCCTATGGTATGGTAAATATCGATCAAATGTATCCGAAGCTCGGATCTCAGTTGCCAGCAGGAGAGATGAACCGATCGGGAGCACCAGCTCACACCGGCAGTTCCAGCTTCAATACCTGTCCTACTTAAGTCCGAGTCATCGAAAAATACTCAAAGAATCTTTCGAGGAACAAGTGATCTTCATGTCCTCCTGATTCCTGATCATGGATTCAGCCCTCTTGTTTTGAATCGCCTGCGATTTCAGGGAATTCGAGAGAGTCGTCTGATTGAGGATCGTGTACTATGCCCAGATTTCAGGAGCTTCCCTCGCTAGAGTGAGTTTCGTCAGATCCACTCGATCACAAACACAGCTCATTTTATTCAATCTTCATGAGAGTCCGCTTCCGAACACTGTCAACGACTCTATCCGCAAGTAAGCTCCATCGGAAGTCATTTGACGCCTCTGAACCTCTCCGCGACGAAAAATATCTCGGCGGAATCGCCTCTCGAAGCATCAGGTTTCACGATATGTACATGGTTGAAATGAGTTTTCAGATCGGCCTTCAGTTCTGGCGTCCTCGAGCCGTGCCATAATTTACAGATGAAGCCCCCTCCTGAAAGTACACGGAAATTCAGCCACGATTTCCGCGACGTACTGCTCGTAGGAGTCCTCTACTCTGATCCTCCTCCTCCGATCCTGATGTCGAGATGCAGGATCGATCCGATGACTGACCTGGTTTCAGCGTCTTCAGCGCGAAGACAAGAGCCGCATACGAGAGAACGGTTATCTTCTCGTGGTCGATGGCCGCCACTCCGGATGCATTCGGCGCCATGTCGCTTACTACGAGGTCGCATGAGAGGCTCCAACCCGCCCCCAAATCCTCCAAAACCCGCTTCACCGAGTCTGGAAGCGTGATTTCGGGGTGAGATCGAGAGTCAGCTAACATTCGAAAAAATCGAACTCGTCTGGTATCCTTCCTGCATCGCTCCGCGAAAATTCGAATCGGGAGCAGCTCATCAGCTTCTCTTTCACTCACCATCGTCGAGGAAGTCAACCTCACCATAGCAATTAGCATGAGGTACCGGCTCGAAAGGCACGACATCAATCGAGATGACCTTCCCGACTGGATGATCTGTAAAAAAAGCATCGTCTCATGGGAAGGAAGTTCGCGACATGCAAATACTCCAGCGTCATCGAAAGCAAATCTCTGTGTGGTCAAGGAGCAACGAGAACGGTGGCGGAGAACTTTAACTCGGCCTCTATGTGATCCACATTCACGGTCGCCTCAGGCGGGATGGAGGCCGATCGGCTTGGCGGATGCACCCGTCTCTGAGTCTTACGAATAAGAGGAGAGAAGATGAAACCAATCCAAGAGCAATCGCCTCAATCAGAGAAAAATAACACGGAAGATATGAGCTTCTCTGTCTTCGTGAGTGTCGAAGTCATTCGGGTGCGACCGATGTCCTTGAAGTTCGACGAAGACTATGAGAAAAATTTGAGATTCTCGAGGAAAATGAATGGCATAATGATGAGCTCACGTCTCTCCGGAGGTGAATATATTTTTTTAGGTCACGGGAGATTATCGATATCACGGATTTTCACGCGAGCAGTCAACCCTGCATTGGATCACGGTTCGGAGAGAGCGACGTCGAGTGAAAACTTCTTGAAAGTCACCACAGGATTGAAAACAAGTTTGTGATAAGTTAGCAACATTAAATATTTATCTCTTTTATTTAACAGCATTTCGACTCGCCGGCACGTGACGCTCCCACATCGATAAGTGAGACGAGAGGGGAGGGAGTACAAGATATTCAACAAAGCTTCCGACTCCGGAAGCGGCCTCCTGAAACTGCAGGATCGGAATCTCTACATAATTTAACCAGACATACTCTTTCACTTTCCCCGATTCGTAATACAATTCGAATTCGACTATCGGCAGACAAAACAATGCAAAGGAGCACACACAGATTATAACAACGCGGGACTGAACGATCGATCATTATCTGTCTGTCCACTCGCCTGACTCCAAAAAACACGAGGAGGACAATGACTTGTTGAATGTCATTTGCTTCTCGAGAGAACTCTGTCGGTGACGTTGATGAGGGCTCTCTTATGCGGGGAATCAGCCCAGTCTTCAATCGAACTGATCGCGGCATTACAGTAAGCTTGAGCGATATTTCGCGTCCGTTCCAAACCTTCGGAATTCTGGACCAGTTCGAAGGCTCGCTCTACGTCTCCAGGCGTAGAGAACCTTCTGTTCACTAACTCGTCGAGCTCCGGGAACTCCTCACACGCGAATAGTACAGGTCCGGTCGATAATCCGAGTTTCAGATCAGCGGCGGCCGGCTTCCCGAGAAGGCTCTGATCGGCTACGAAGTCCAGGATGTCGTCGATGAGCTGGAAGGCGATTCCGATATTTCTTCCGTACTGGAAAGCGTTGTCGATGACTACTTCGTCGGCTCCGGCCAAAGTGACGCTCGACCTGCACGTGAAGGCAAGCAGAGATGCCGTCTTCTTGAAGCTCTTCTCGATGTAATGGCTGAATCTTTCATTGAACTCACTTTTTGTCTCTAACTGCATAAATTCTCCGCTCACCAAATCCACAAGTGTTTGTGCCATGTAATTGTTAGTCTTCACGCATCCTATATTAGCTAGCATCTCCGCGGATTTGCTGAGGACGAAGTCTCCCGCGAGGATGGATTTCTGCTGACCCCACAACTTTCCCGTGGTCGGTTTCCCCCGTCTGGTGTCAGACTCGTCTATCACATCGTCGTGCAGCAGAGACGCCGTATGAATCATTTCGGCAATCAATGCCAGCGTCTTCTGACCTCTACTGAGTTCGTTTCTGCCTTGTACGTGTATGTTAGCAGCCCGTCCCATGAGACAAGCCACAACGGGTCGGAATGCTTTCCCTTGTCCGTCGAAGTAGTATCTGGCCATGTCTTCAAGCTGCGAAAAACGCTGTCCGCAGTTGAGTTCGTGCCTGATGTCCGTGTATAGATTCTTGAGGTCGTCTTTGGCTAACTCGAACGGATCGTCCTGCTCCACTGCGAGAGGGTGGGCAGTTGCCGCGGTAGCCAATGCCGCTCGATCGTGAACCAGCACAGAATTCCTCCGTTTATCGACGTCCTTATTCCGCACAAGAGGAATTGAGGTGAAATAGCGCAGGTCCGTCAAGTACCGAGGCACCACCTCGAGTACTCTCTTCGATATGCGTTGCATGTCGCAGTGGCACAGGTGGGGTGGCAGGCAGCAGCACACAGGCAGCACACTTCACTTCCAATGGTTTCGTTAATGCTATCTCCGGATAGAACTTAACCGATAGTTGCGGCGGAGATGCACTTCAGTCGCCGATGTTGATGGTGATGTCCCCTCTCTCATGGCAGACAAGTGAACAGAACTAAACCGGGTCAAAAGTAGAGCTGTTCAGAACGTCCTGCCTCCAAGCGCACCTCCTTTCCCGTTTTCGCAAGTGCACCAGCATCGCACACGGTACTTCGATTCCGTCGGAGCAGAATGTAGCATCACTCTCTCACTCACTCACGAGTGTATGCGTTGGCTCCCTTCACCTCATAAAGTTCCATCCGCCTCAGGAGCTTGCTCGCGATGACCCTCAATTCGAAGACGAGAGCGTGTGACGTGATATTTCGAACACAGCAGAGAGAGACCAATGGTTGATGCGAGTGTCGCAGCTACACCCGGAAATCAGCTGTTGCACCCAAGTCTACGGGACCTGGGGAGCCACACGAGAAACAACAGTGTCAAGTCTCCTCCGATTATTCACCGATGGAAGTAATTTTCTTTGGGAGAGATGGATGGCCGCTTCGACGCAGGCGACCGGAACAGGAATCTTTGGGAAAATTTCGGAGGGACGCGACCTTATCGATAACTCCAGTAAGTTGGCTGAAATCCGCCAGCTCTGGCTGTACTCTCGAATCTCCCAGCTACGACGGAGCGGATGCGTATCCGAGCCGCGGAATCTGAGATTCGAAAAGACGATGATTCCCCGCGCATTTCGTAGTTCAATCAGCACGGAGAGAACCTACGTAGCACTTGCGGATAACTCTCCATTCTTTCACTGAGAAGAAAAAGCGAGTTCAGTGGTCCACGGCTTTCTTGATGACCATATTTAGTAGTTGCCAGGGAACTTCCCAGGCGATGGGCGATCGAGTTTCAGTTCGACCCTGCTCTGAGGGGCGGACCGGCCTCTCGAGGCGGGCTGGTAGGAGGTGAGGAATACATTAGGAGATCCCCGGCGAATCATCCACTTTGATGCCTTCGCTCTGATCAAATTCCTATGCAAAGCCGCATCTAGGTCTCAGCTGTACGAGACCAAATTCTCGATTCGCTTGAGAGAATGGCAACCGTCAGTGAGGATCATGGGGAAGTCCGAACTTCACCTGCGCAGTCGAAATGAGCGGCGCTCGCGAAGGAAAGGAAAGAAGCAAGCTCAAGCGGTACTGAAACCCCTCGGCACTAAGGAAAGGAAAATTCCCTGACCGATTCGGCAGTCACGCAAACGTGACGCCCAAATCAGCTCGCCCGGCGCAATTACCAGGTGTGTGTACATACAGGATACCGCAATACTCTGCACAGGTGTCTACGCGAAAAATGGCAGTATCATATGCATCCACCTATTACTTCATTGGCCTATTCAGGCGTACATTCAGGGAAATTGATGACTCGAAATCTTTTCTGACGAATACGACCTCGCATAGCGAACAAAACTCTAATGCTCATTCCCAAGGACCGGCGGACCCCGAATATTCGCGGGCCATCGACTCCCCACCGCAGGAGTCTCCTTCTAGGATAACTAGGATGCTCGCGTATGACTTCGGGCTCAGTGGAGCCTCATCGTGCTGAAGCAGTGGTCGCGGACAACGACGATCACGAATCACCAAGAGAAGATCGTTACGTTTGTATTGAGAGCAGCGGAAAAACACTACGTACCTTCACATCGACGATCCGCATTGACTTTGGGAACCAACACCTGCATCAATATCAAGATGAGAGTTGGCATCTTGAGGCTCCCCGTAGCTCCTGAATACCCCCCAAAATCTTCGCCGATTTTCAACAAGACTTGCCTGTGTCCAGCTCCCTGGTGCAGCTCCACAATCGATGACTGTCATCCCGGGTCTCAAAAGATTGTATTTCTCATCCATTTCGAGCAACTTGAACGCACTCCGAGCTCTGTAGTTGTGGTATCTGGAAGGATGAGAGCGTCAGTGCCGGCATCGTTCCGAATCGAATCGCAACACTCCTTCCAGGAGCGGGGTCCGCGCTTTGCACTTCCGCAAGCGTCTCGGCGATACGGAACGCGGAGTCAGAATTCAACATTACTTACCTCGACTTCTTCACGTAGGGATCATTGAGCTGCCTTGAGAGCCAATCCTGCGCAGTCTTATTTTTGCCCCGCAAGTTCGCCGGTATGATTTTTCTCAAAGTGTCCGTTGTATGGAACTGGCGCGAACCCATCGATTGTAAACGATGAAGCTGTTTGAGCCACATATCCTGCGACTTTTCGGACCGATCCTCAGCAGTGAAAGAGCTGAACACTTTCGGAGCTCTGAATGATGTTGCTCTGTTCCATTTCAGAGTACTGACTCGAGGAAACATCTGCTGGCAGAATTATGCCGAATTTTGTTGCGCGGACGAGCCGAGTTTTCGGAATTACGCCGCGTTGAGTTGAGCTGAGCTGAGATCTCTTAAGTTTCGCCGTTTGTGTCGTTTCCGCCTTTTATGTTGTCCCATCGTTCCCATCGGTCACGTACTACGCAGAGTCATTTGCGCTGCATCCGAGATCTCACAGGATGTGTTCCACTCTCTCCGCCCTCATGCTGTCGAGTGCTGACGCTGTGATGGCTCGGAAGATATCGGGAGAAGTTGCATTCGGTACCTTGCCCTATCCCAGGGAAACTTGATGCTCAGCTGAGCTCGATCTCCCCTGCATCGGTACAGATCGTCCCGAAAGCCTCGGTATAGGAGAACCGGCACGGATGGAGGAGCAGTGTCCGTACCTACGATGCCGCACTGTGCTGTAGTCATCTCTTGCGTAGTATTTGATTTGTCAGTTTTCGCTCACGCGATACAACTGTGTACGCCGGCGTAGCTCCTGTAGAGGATATATCTGGTCCGGTCGTCCAAGGGATTCACGTGCGGTGATACTGTGGTCTGATTCATGATTGTAAAAACCGCGCCAAATCTATCTTTCCGAGCTGACAAGCTAGGGACATGTCCCCAGATCCCTCAGAATATCCCCAGATCCTCCCTGATCCTTGAGAAGGTATAGGGAGTCGTATTGGGTGTGTTCTCATGAGGAGCACTTGAGTTCAGAACGTCAGTCGAATGTTTTCGCAGCGGCGGTGAATGTAGTGCGGTAGAATAGGATCCGCAGTCTTCTCGGTGTCCGGTGTCTCATGTGTCTCGTGACTGGGTCTAGACTTCCTGGATTTTTGGTCAATATGGCGGCGCCGATTTCATATTGACATCATGGGCAGCACGGTGGTTTCCATGGATTGTACAATGATACCGATACTGTCAGATACATCGAGCAGGTTCGTTTCTCTCAACGATTCTTCACCCAGGCGTGCGATTTAGCTAAGATAATGGATATACGATCGTCTATTTGAGTACAGTCATTCCCGAGTCAAGGTAATCGTAAAGATTTACAAGGTCTCTTTCCGAAGTTCGTTCCTTTAGCGCGAACTTGATTTATCTCGCAGGGATAATTTTTCTGTTCTGGTGCAAAGAAGGTCTCCCTCTCGCAAGCTTTCGGGAACTAATCACCGGCGAAGTCAGGAACTTATTCGGTTGACCGAACGTACATAGTCGCTGTTCAGTCAGAACCGCAGGGTCTCCCTAGACCATATGTGTTTACAGGAAATTGAGATTGTCAGCTTGTGTTACGCGAAAAGAAGTTTTCCGGGCTCCCGGACGACCACCACTGATTTTTTGGTCGCATAGTGATACTCCTAAGTTTGTAACGGTTTGTGCTATTGTTGTGGAAAGCTCTAGCTTTACAATCGAACGCGACCAGCTGTTTATCGTCAATGTTTCCATTCTCTCCCTTCATTTGCCGTCAGGGCCATCGACGACGAAATCTTTCTGTGAATCACTTGTCCCCAAGATTATCTCGGTCAGACCACAGCTGACTGATGAATGACATGATTTTATGCTAGTTCACCACAAAATTATCTCTGCTTTTCTCGAATCTTGGGATGACATAACATACACGCACAAGAAAGAACTTTGCATTCGTTCATGGGTAGGATCAAATCTCGGTCAGAACCTAATCATCATTGAGTGATAACAACGCATTTGATGGATTTTAGGATATGAGTGACAAATCGAGTTGCGAATACAAAGTCGACCCACTGATAAACAATAATATGAGAGTGCATCCTCATTTCAGTTTCACGCCGAAGGACATCGTCTGAGCGTCGTTCAAAATTGCTGTAAAACTCGTATTGGGGATCTGATGCCATGGATTTTCCGAAGATTCACCGCTCCACTCATCGGCGGAGATCGTCGCTGGACTTCCAGGAGAGTGGACAAAAGTGCTCTGGGCGATTCTCGACTGCTTATTCTAACACTGTTATTCAATCGGCTGGCGGAGCCGATCAGAAATTGAAAGGAATCTGTCAACGGAAAATTCTGCAACACTCACGGAACCTGAGTTTGGATGCGGCTCTACTAGAACGGGGTTGTTGTCAGAAGCGTATCACGGACGTCAAATTCTCCGTAAGTTCCACTGTGATAGAGCGGTATCGAATCGTCAGATCTGTATGACTCACAACTCGTACCGTACCAACCACTTCGTCTTAATGTTCGGAGAACTGCGAAAACAAACTATGAACGGCGCTTGAGTATCGTTCCGCCACGACCAAATGCCCGGTCGGTCATCCAACGTAAATATTCTAAATTGTCTGAGTTCCCCTCAAGGAAACGGATGGGAGCTCACAGGCCAGCGACGACTCTGGGATCTGCGCCGCTGACTTGGCTGACATGGTCCCTCAATTCCCATCGGTGACCCCGACGGAATATTCGAAAGTCAACGGAGAAGTTGTTCAAAGAAGTGATTCCGCGGACCAGGACGCGGAATCAACGGAATCGAACGCTGCATCGGCAGATTGGGACAATGACTGTCACGGCCTCGCTGAAAAGTACTTCGCTACGCCGGGAGCAAGCAGGCCGTGCCTGAAGAAATCGGGCTTGTTGAGACTTCTCGAATCGAAGCTCTTCAACATGCACTTTGCCGTACAGTATCTGGCGAATTGCAGAGAGACTAAAATCCTCGAGGACATCGGGAACAGGATGTTCAATTTTGATGACCCGAACGTATCGTTTTACCTTCTCCAACTAGTTTGCCTGTACGTTCATCATCCCGAGGTTGCGGATGCAATCAAAACCTACTTAGTCGACAGGTTAGTACTCGTCCATTTTCAAAGATGCAATTTGGACACAGCGGACTCTGTGTAATGCGTGCTGCGGCTGCACCGACTCCTCAGGCGATTGGATCGCCACAAAGCGTCGCGGTCTGGATCATTCGGAGTTCATTGATTCGAGCTCTGGGTTATTGGCTTCTTGAGAAAAGGAGAGCGCCTTCCTCTCTCAGTGAGCCGATACGGCGGTATCCTCTACGATACCAGGGAATGCAGGAATGCAAATGACCTCCCTATCCAATGGTCGACTCCTTGAACTTCAGATGTCGTCGGGATGCCGATTTCTCGCTACAATTGTCTTGGCTTCTCTCGGCTTTCTGTGCGGACTGTAATGCACCCTCTCGGAAAAATTCTCAGGTGGGTGAACACTCTCCCACGACGGATCCCGGGACGAATTCACCGGTCCATACGGACCGGGGCATTCGGAAACCACAGGCCTCAGTTCTATGAGATAAGAAACCGGAATCCTTTGCTGGTAACGAGGAGCGATAGTCGAAGGTCATATATCATTTTAGGGTCTCCAATTGAAGAACAAGATTTTATCGGAAGAAATGGGCCTTCATAATCCTCTACCGACGCCATCTGTGTCGAACCATCTCTCAGTTGTGAATAGCCATAGCGGGCATCGTCAGCACAAGAAAACCGTGGGACACTACCGGTCAGTCGCCTGAACGTTCACAGCTTCTCAGTCAGAACGTGGGCTGAATCTCTCATGTGACTTCATATTCGACCTCGCTTCCCCTCTCCCGCGAAATCGGCCACCGTTCCCATCGGCGATAGCGGGTCGTCGAGGAGGAATCTCGCGGGCGAGTCCTCGAACTCTAACATGATTTGGCTCCCTTTCTTTCCAGATCGCAGTCCGACGCAACAGGGCTGCAGGTGCCTAAGATTTCAAGTCCGTTCCGAACTCTCGGTGACGTAAACTCTGGTCATGCATTCGACTCCGGCTGCAGGTGAGTTCTCAATTTCTACATTCCGCTTCGAAGCACCGGTGCCGAGTTTGCGTGATCCGTGTCCCGATGAGAATGATGACTTCTATCTATCGATTCTCCAGGTGTAAGTCGCTCTGTTCCTGTGGTGCACCCCGACTGACAGCTCAAAACGAGTTCATCAAAGCCCTCATCAGCATGGGTATGCGCAATACCGAGTCTCCTACCGAAAAACGTGTCTCTCTCGTTTGAAGAATTCGTTCGCCGAATTCCGAGAAGCCGCTCGGTTTTCCCCTACGATCGATTTCAAGTTCCGTATCCTCTCTGCTTCCAGGTGCCAGGCTCGTGTCGGTCCCCACGAAAGAAATGAAGACTCAACGGCTACAAGCAGATTTATCTCTCCTAAATATGAATTTACCAGCCAGAGTGTGGCTACCAGGTAAAAAATCGATTGTTCCGCTGTTCCGCATTCGCATCCTGAGTAATTTTCACCGCTCACTCTCTGTGCTGCCAGCTGATGGTTTTGTCTCCATAGTGTACAGTAAACCCCACTTCGTGGTCAGGGTGCCTCCTCAAGCTGCAGTTGTGCTGAACTCAAAAGATAGAGCACCCTACTTGATATACGTCGAGGTGAGCGAAAGCCAACTGCGATGCATGGGACGATTTCGGGAGGGAAGTTCACCCCTCTCACGATTCTTTCTCATTTGACGTCAGATTGTTGAGGTAGCGGATATCCAAAAAAGTCCGGTCCCGTCCAAAATCATAACTCTTCAAAATATGAGGGCCTCGCGGAGCGAAGAGAGCCTCGAACTCTCCGCACAAGGGTGAGTTGGACTCGATCGGAAAGAGAATCTCGAACAATCCCATCGAGTCGCATCAATCGCAGTCACCTCAACGGCACAGATCGGTATTCCACGATACTAATCGAATCATTCATCCCCGTAGTTGCAACGGATCATCGTCGAATTCCAATTCGGGCACGATATCATCATCTTCGTCTTGCCACCAACTGAATGCGGTCGAAATAGGATTGATAGGAGATGAATGGTCCGCTGAAGATGACGAAATAACCACTCAATTCAATGGTGCAGACATCCTCATCAGTACCAAAGAACGGTGAGGGACAGACACCGAAAGACCTCGTGAACAGACTTTATCTTAGCCCGAGCCGCTTACCAGTGGAAGTTCTTTTGTGAGTGTCATAATCTCCGTCCGAATTTTCAGGGACACGCTGTCCGTTGATTCTGGAGTGATTATGATCCCAGCCGCGGATATCAGGCGAAAGTTGCATCAAAATTGCAGCGCCAAGCAGGGCGCCAAACAAGTAATCGAGAGGGATCCAGAAGATCCGTCGGCAGCGGCGCTGAAGGAGCCCTTAGATGATAAGGTGAATTTATTTGGAGTCCTATCGACGGAGAAGCTACTGGCTCTAACTTCCGTAAGGGGGAACCCGTTGGAACCGCGAATCGATCGAGCAGGTGATAATTCAGCTATGGTTTTCCAGATCGAAAGAATTCGTGAGAGTTCACCGTATGGTCACCTGAACTCTTGGAAACTGGTGTCGGCGATCGTCAAGTGCGGGGACGATTTGCGACAAGAACTCATGGCCTATCAGGTGCTCAGCATTCTGCAGAGTGTCTGGCAAGAAGAAAAGGTGATGACCCTTCTCGCCCCTCATGTGTCGGCGAGGAATTGAATTGTCCCGAGAGCTAGGTTCATTGCGTTTGTTCTTTTTCATGCTATTTTTTTCAGATACCATTGTGGCTGCGACCCTACAAAATTCTCGTAACGGGTAACGACTCCGGGATGTTGGAGCCTATCATGAACACCATGTCCCTGCATCAGGTGAGGAGGAATGACGAACTTCTCCTTGATCCAACCAACTGTGCGACGTCTACCGCAAGCACCCCCGATTAAAACTATTTCCTCCTCATTTCAGTTAAAACGTTTCCATAGTAATTGCTCTTTGTTATCGTACTTCGAGCGCGAATTCGGACCGCGAAATTCGGAGGCCTTTCTCTCGGCGCAGAGGAATTTCGTGGAAAGTTGCGCGGCCTACGCTATCGTGTCCTACCTAATACAAGTTAAAGATCGCCACAACGGTGAGGGAGAGCCGTCAATCGCTCCTGAATTTCCGTTGAAGTTTTATAATTAGTATTGATTGATTTTTCTGCGATTCTTCCGCGACTCAATCGAAATCCTTCACCAAAAGGTAACATCCTGCTCGATGGAGTCGGCCACCTCATACACATCGACTTCGGCTTCATACTTTCATCATCGCCAAAAAATCTCGGCTTCGAAGCGTCGCCCTTCAAATTGACGAATGAATTCGTTCAAGTGATGGGGGGAACCGAGAGTGATATGTTCAATTATTTCAAAGTAAGATGTTGCTTTGCGTTCTCCGCATGCCATTCAGCCGGTTCTTATCCACTGAATACTAAATGAGTATTTCCTGCTCTCCAGCTACTGATGTTACGGGGGCTGATCGCGGCAAAGAAACATCACGAGCGTCTCGTTTGTGTCGTCGAGATTCTTCATGCTTATGCCCAACTCCCCTGCTTCAATGGTACCGCCGGTGCCTCGGCGGTGAGGTCCCTTAAAGACAGGTGAGCTCATTTGTGAAATTGTTTCGACTCAATCACATTGGAACTAAGGCTGAAAGACGTGACAGGAACATTTCGCGCAGGCTGTAGAGTATTCTCCCTGAGAACGTGAACGAATCCTTGTTTTCCAGATTCATGGTCCACATGACAGACGAGGAGATCGAATCTAAAGTTGAGCAAATGGTCATTTCGTCATTACATTCGCTCACCACTCGTCTCTACGACAACTTCCAATATTTAACGAACGGGATTCATTGAGACTCTGTATGTATGGAACTGCGGTCATCACTACATAATAATCTACACGTTGCGACCGCGGATAATGATTCCGCGGTCTGAACCAAGGTTCTTGACGGCGATCGCCGGGATGGTCCTCGTATTCCTGACCGCATCCATCGGGGCGGCGATCCGAGCCAAGCGACTTAAATTGACTCACTTCGCAAAAATGGCTATATATCTTCTTCTTGAACTCTGCTCAATCGAGCTAAGAAAATTCCTCATCCGTGCTTGAGATTTCGACTCGGAAGAATCCTCCTATTGGACGAGGCTGTGGGCGATCCAGTTATCGGGTATTAGTTGATGTCACTGAGCGGCCTCCGAAACGTTTCTCAAAATTGCTCGGCTTCGTCGATTCCTCTCCGATACAGAGACGCTTTAGAATATCCAGTGGAATTCTTCGGAACTTCCGGAATTCTTCGTTTGTCAAATGTTCGCATTGAAGTCCCATATCCGAGAACAGCTTTGTTACAAGAACTCAAAGGTGTAAACGAAACCCTCCGACATTCCGCTTTGGGATCCGGACAATCACATGCCTGAGCTTGGTGTTTATCCATTGGATGCGAGGCGATGTTGTCGGAAGTGAGCTCCTCTCACGATAGCTCGATATATTGTCCCTACCCTCCACAAGATGCCGAAGATCCAGGTATTGTCCCTACCCTCCACGAGATGCCGAGGATCCAGGTATCTAGGGGAACAAACGTTTTCTCGACGATGCGGGAGCAGATGTCTCATGTGTACCTAGTTAGGAATTAAAGTTTGAGGCTTTCATTAGTGTAAATGATTCTCGGAACTCGAGGAGTTCGGCGAGCTCAAGATGGTCTAATTCTCCTCGATACTTTTAGAATAGCCGAATAATATAATGACAATGTTCAAAGTGTAAATACTGTTTTTCCACGGAATAATAATAAGAACGAGTCGATTTGACTTTCAACACGAAGTGGCGTCCTCATTTCACTCCTTCCAATTAGTCAGGGAATGAAGGTATGTATGTGGGTGCTCGGTTCGGATGGATAGAGCCATGCCGACGTTTGCCAGATCTGCGCGCCTTTGCCAGCACCGCAAAGGCTATGAGAGCACTGTCTCCTCTCGAAAGTCCGATCAGCGCAAGAGACGAATCCATCGTCTCAGATCTAGAAGCGCGCTGCGAAGGAATCAGATAGTGGGAAACTGCTCCCATATCTTGTTTTCGCTTGGTTGGGCCATGCAGCCGAAATTCCACATCCCAAACTTGAGCAGCGCATTCCGCTGGATTCGATGATCGACTCGGCAAGTACCTAGCCCAAGAGTCTCTGACGTGAATTGAGAGTGTCTCCGGTCGGACTCGAGGCAGGAGCTGATTGAGAGAGCACATTCTTCCGACGTCCCTTCTATCGAGTTCGCTCATTTTCCGACCGCAATCTGCTGAAGGTCTCACCTCACAATCGACCAGGTCAGGATTTATTCGGCATTGAACTCCTATCAATCCCTGACAGGGGATCCTCGTTCATCGGGACGGTCATGTGCTCCCAGGAGCGGGCTGTGCGCAATTGTCGAGCAGACGAATCCCAAAGCGCGCTTTCTCCCATCCGCTGTGTCTGAGCAGATCTCTCCTCTTCCTCCAACACGACCCATCCTGGAACAGCTGATGTGAAGCACCCTCCGGACGAAGAGGAGGTCTAAAGGTATTGATTTCCGCGAAAATGAATCGTGGGGATTTTCTTTGCACCGAATAAGTCCGGCATGAGATTACGTGAGTGATTTTCATGCCAAGCGGAGCGGATGTAATTTCAACATGGAGTTGCCGAGACACATCGCGCGACACAGGATGGTCTCAAAATCAAGGGGACGGAGGGGCTCTCAGTTCTCCGCTCATTCTCCCCGCTCCCCTCCTCCGGATCCCATCCGTTGGAGTTTCTGTGGTACGCCGATCGAATGAGCCTGACAGTGATTTGGGTTGCCAGCCCTCCGTCGCCCCAACAGTGAGCGCCTATCGGCGTGAAACCCAGGATAGGACCTGCGCTCACACCTTGATTCTCTTGCAGAAATGTTCAGAAAGTTTGCGAGATTGGTGCCGAAGCGGAGAACGCTAGCCAGCGCCGGTGTACTGACCGCTTCAGGCATCCTTGGCTATTACAGCCTCGAAGAAAGTTATCGGAAACAAATCCGAATTTCTTCAAGCGGTATTGTAAGGTCGTCTCGATGGGGCTGATCATCTGATGATTGCTTCTAGCACTGTTCTGGAATTGGAGAACTTGGAACGGAAGGAAGTATGTAAATATTCGAATTTCAATCCCATAGGTTTCTACGGACCCTCCGGATAGGGACGATAATTTCGGTCGACTACTGGCTCACCAATAAGTGAGTAGACCCCGAAAGCTCTGAGAGGAGGCGTTCCTGACCCGGGAGTGAGCGGAGATATTACTGCGCTCCTGTCATTGGCGTCGAGATTCACTTCCATGAGGAGAAGACGGAGTACTGGACTTTTTTTGGAATCCACAGTTTATCCCCTGACTCCTTATCGGCATGTCATCTGCGTTGTTCATCCCGCATTCTCGATGGATGCCTCAGGAACGGCGGCGTTTACGTGAAATTAGGCCAAGGTCTCGTAGCCATGAACCACATCCTACCTGAAGAATATTTAGATACGCTCGAGGTGCTCCACGACCGGGCCTTGCGAGACTTGCCTCTTGACGAGGTAAGTCGTGAAAGCCAGACAAGATGTCCTTATCCCCGGTGTCGTAGAATCTCCGGAGTGATCCCATCCGATCGATAATCAGGCAATGAGCACCAATATTACGGGAGTGGGTCTCTCGGGCCTTGTTTTAATCGAGAAAAATCGATACAGGTGGAGAAAACGTTTATCGAAGACTTTGGCGACAAACCTCAATCGCTATTCAACTCTTTTGAGCCGGAATGTGTGGCAGCGGCCAGTCTGGCTCAGGTTTTCAAAGCGCAAACCAAGGAGGGTCGTGACGTGGCTGTGAAAATACAGTACAGCGATCTGCGGGCAAGGTTTGCATTTTCGATACTCAGAATGAACTAAGTAAGCTAGCTAGCCTTCTTGCGATATCACCCCTGAATTCGGCCTTGGCACATGGTTCTGGGATCCGTTGACGGATTTCTCCGGATATCTTATTCTCGTAGGTTTTCTGGCGACGTTTGGACTCTTGGAATCCTGGTCTCTCTGGCTGGATGGATGCATCCGGATTACGACTTCAGATGGGTACTGGACTATCTCCGGACCTCATTGGTCAGAGAGCTCGACTTCGAAATCGAAGCGGAAAACATGAGAAAGTGTGCGCGCGACCTCGCCGATCTCCATTTCATCATGGTCCCGGAAGTGAGCTTAAATTATTGATAGCTAGGTAGAGCCCGGTTTCGATCTTTCGAGCGGGTGGGGAAGAGGTATAGGGGGACCCTGGAATTATCACTGACGCTCGAGTTCAGATTGTCGACAGTCTTTCGTCGAAGCGAGTGCTGACCATGGATTGGATCGACGGTATCAAGATCAACAGGAATTCCGAGTTGCAAGAGAAAGGATATTCGCTTCATGATATCGATTTTAAGCTCATAAAAGCATCGTCTACACAAGTTTTCCGTCACGGGTTTCTCCACGGAGACCCTCATCCAGGTAGATACTTGGGCCAGCATGAGCGGATGATTTTCAAGGCTGTATTGAGGCATGCTCTGGAGGTTTGATCAGCTCATGATTCGGGCGGGGGTCCTGTTATATCCTCAGGCAATGTTTTGGTCGTCCCGAATCCGAAAAAGCCGACGGATCCCTACTTGTGTCTTCTGGACCATGGACTTTACGAGCGTCTCGACGACTCGACTCGTTTATCTCTCTGCTCCTTGTGGAGGTCAATCGTGTACAACGATGATAATGGTACGTAGGCATTCATCCTTCACTTTCCGTTGTCATCCTCAATATCTCCCGTTATCATTGCAAGCTACGATGTCTAGCTGGATGGTGAACTGAGAATGCAAGGTCTCTCAAGCTCAGAGGTGGAGGACTGATCCCTCAGAGGTTCTCTAGCGGACCGATGCTCGGGCTTCGAATGGGAGGGCATAAACTTAGATTCCTTCTAAGTTCGTTCTTGCAGGGATGAGGGAGAGCTCAAAACGCCTCGGAGTTCCGGAAGAGAATTATCGGATATTCTGCGAGTTGCTAGTTCAGAGACCTCTACTGTTTCGTGCCAGAAGTGGAGTTCCGCTTGCGAAAGGATTGAGCAAACGCGAAATGCAGTACATGAAAGAGATGGCTGCCAAGAGGTGAGACCTAGATCACTCATCTGGAACATCTGACTTCATTCCCCGATCGGACCGCCTCCAATACATTCGAACCCCGGATCATTCCTGCCTTTCGCATTCAGATTCGACGAAATCATGGCCTGTCTGAGAGTCCTGCCACGGCCTATGCTCCTGGTCTTCCGAAATATAAACACCGTAAGATCCATCGCGAAAACGCACGGTCACCCCGTAGACCGGTTTTCCGTCATGGCTCGAGAAGCCGATCTTGCTCTATTCAGGAGGAAGTTCCGGGATGGAAGGCAAGCTTTCCTCTTCGCGATAATCCTCAGAGAGGGCATATTGGCTTCGGTCAGCCGAAAAGACAAATTAATATTTATCTCGTGCTTTACCCTCTCTCCACAGGATGATACTTTATAGGAAACTATACTCAAATTTGATATATGTGATCCGGCGAGCTCAACTCGAACTGTTCCTCGTTTGTGTTCGAGTGGCAGACTGGGTTTCCCGACATGTACAAAGGATTGTGCTTTACTACAATCAAGACGTCGCGGACCTCGTGGACCATGTAAAGAGGTCCCACGAAAAGCGGGAGCGCTTTCTCGTCGAGTGATCGAATCAGCTTCGCGACAGCGAGTACCAACTTGTAAATACTGATCCGCAAGGAGCTACAGCCGCGGAGACTAAATGCTTCGGAATCCCCCGCGATTTCGGCTTCCCAGAACAACGACCGCATGATCAATAAAGCAGTCTTTCGCTCGAGCGGAGCTTCCGCTACACCTTCCTTGGACCTTCGAATTTTCGAGCCGGAATCCGATACATCAAGTCATTCGGGGGAGAAGACCAGAAGAGCCTGCCGTTCTTCGGGTTTCTGGATCCGGTCCCGACGTGTCTCAGGCTTGGAGCTGCCCTCCCGACTTCCAGAAGAGACACCGTCAATGGGAATCCTACGCTCGACTTCGCCCGATGGGGCTGGATGTCCCACGACAGAGGAAGACGCTGCTCAGCGATTCGAGCGAAGACCCCCACAAAGTACTCAACAATTCGACGAGTTTTTTATTTTTTCTTGCTCTTGGTGGCCAGAGGCTTGCCGTCACCGTGCGACACTCTGGCCCTCATTTCTTCCTCGATCTTAGCGCGTGTGCTCTTCTCCAACTTCGCTTTGATTTTCTGCTTCTCGGTGATTGGTTTTGCTTTGCGAGGTGCTGTGCGATCTTCTCCTGTGGGAGTGAATAGAAATCCATTTCACAACAGTCCATGATTTCAAACCATGATCGAGTCCATCGCCGATGTTCAGGGCCGGGCATTCATCGCGCGCGCGTGCGACGCAATCCGTGGAATTTCGCGGCATTCAGAGCTCCTTCTCCATGGGGAGTCTATGAGAGTGGAGAGGTCCCGCGAGTTTCCGGAAAAAACTCTCGATGAAACCCCAGCCCTACATATGCCACATCGAGCTAGCTGCGGCGGCCTAGCTGGGCACCGTACGGGGATCCCGAACAGCGATCAACGAATTCTCGGATGCACTTACGTTTCAAGACGGGCCTGCTTCTTCTCTGGACCCCTTTTGGAAGGCTGGACTTGACCTTGAGCTTGCCTTGAGACATAGCTATCCGATGTGTTTATTGTACAGGATGGAGTCGCGGTATTAGCCCGGATTATCGGAATCGCGAAAACCGCTCGAACCGGATGACTCTATGTCTCTTCCTCTCGCAGGAGGTGGTACGGTTCGCACCACGTGGTCCCCTAGGACAGACCGACGAGCAAGACCCAAGGCCCGAAATCGAAGCTTCGTCCTCCTGTTTGGAAACCTCTGGGCAGATTCTAGAGCGTGTTCCTGTCGCGGGTCGGCACTGCCACCTCAGTGGTTACCGTGAAGCAGAACCTCGTATGTTTCGAACGAACAACAAACACACACACGACGGCTGGGCCCCTCTCTCTGACACGCAGGGCTGGAGAGTCAACAAGCCGGGTGCTCGTAAAGATCATTTTCATCATTGGTTCTCTCCTCATGAAAACATTCTCACTCAGGTCATGTGCAATAGCGGAGGATTTTTGAGATGGCGGGTTGACGCGCGCGGTGTCACAGCGAGGCCTTCGGGAGGACACCGAGCCGTAACGGGGGCACAAGATCCCGATAGTTCGAAGGTTCTAGGCACCAGGCAGTCAGTCGATCTTGCGCGCGCGGGGATATCCTGAGCGGCAGTCACCAATCAATGAGATTCCGAAAATCCTCTGACGGGAAAGTCGATTAAGCCGTGAATGAAAATGATGACACGAGAGACGAGTCTTCCTTCGGGCTCCGGGAGACTCCTCTTCCGTCAGCATACAAGAAGCGATGATCGGGAGCTCCGACCAGACTACGATCGAACGAGTTATCGGATCTATCAGCTTTATAGATCTCCCAGCGACATACACCATGAATTTCCTCGACGGTCGTGATCATCTGAATCGAGACAAAGAAAAACACGGGACACTAACTGTTCTCCCTTCACGTCTGGATGGAATTTATTGATACAAGCTCGCTACTATCTCCAGAAAATGTCAAGGTACTCGTTGTTGCTGCTGCTCTTGTGACCGCTGATTGAGCTGGCCCGATAATAATGTACACATCACTCCGTCCTTCGATTAGACAATAGAGACAATAAAGTTCTGCACGTCAGATCTACCACAATAGCTGTTCACATTGTTCCAGAGGCCTCTTAGGTTTCTTGATATCTCGATGCCGGGTCTTCATCTCATACGTCGACGCGGCGGATCGTTTCGCACTTCAGAGTGAAATTTTAAAATGTTGACTCGTTCGACCGAGTCGGGTTAGAAGGTTGGGATGGGCATCGTGAAAGTTTTCGCTTCGGAAGTCTCTCGAGGTGACCCTGAAGTCTTGTAAAATCCGGCCGATCATGGGCCTGATACGACCAACAAAACATCAAAATATCTTTGTATTCAACAATAGAATAGAGATTCGCTAGTGAGGGCTTGATGCCTTTCGCCACTTGATAAATGATACTTTCTGGAGGTTGATCGCGGAATGGCCAGGTGCCGGTGAGCAGTTCGAAAAATACAGTTCCGAATGCGTAAACGTCACTACGAGTTGAAAATGAGAGATCTGGGTGCTCAACTCCCGGCCGAAGATCCTTGAGGAGCTCCGGAGCCAAATAATAGAGCCATCCGCGAGGAATCGTCAGGTAGTTTCCTCTGCGGCCTTCTTGACAAAGTTTCGCTACCGAGAACAGACCGAAATCGGTAATGACTACCTTGCCATTCTCGTAGAATATATTCTTTGTCTTGAGATCCTTGTGCAGGATACCTCTCGCGTGTAGGTAGCCCATGCCTGTAAGGAAATGCTCGACGATAGTTCCCGGATCCTGGTGCGTCTCATAGTTCTTAGAATCGGAGCATGGGAAAGCTACTCTGTCCGAATCGCTGCGGAACATACCCAAACAGATCTGCCGCGCTATGCTGCCGATTCGGTTGTGATTGAACTTGTCCGTTTGAAAATGTAAATGCCGATAGAGCGTCAGTCCTTTGCACAAAGATGTCACGATGGCTAAATTCGGTGGTTTCACGCAAGCTCCCATGAACAAGACAAGATTCTCATGCCGCGTCTTTCGGAAAGTTGCGACCTCCTGCCTGAATGTGGCCATTATCTCAGATCGTCTCTGATGTGACGCCGATTCCATGTTGAGCATCTTAACCGCTACAGCACCGTGCCAGTTCCCTCTGAAACGGGAGCAATCGTTTCAAGTTGGCGAATATGTCATCCGTTGAAAACTTCGAAAGGAATAACTGGGCCTAAATAATCCTTCATCCAGTTGAACTCACTTGTGGACGACTCCAAACTGGCCGTCGCCAAGTTTCTCTTCTAGAATGACTTCATCCAGTGGGATATCCCATTCGCGAGAGGACAGCTGCGGGGATCACGAGTAGCGATTATTCATCAGCAGCAATGTTGGATTGCCGTACGATATCCAAAGGGAGCGTTGCATTGCGCCAGCGAAGAACTTAGAAACCAGGAGGATCGAAAGCGCAAGGCAGCCAAGCCTGAGGCGACGTAAACGATCAAGCGAGCATGAATCTCGGTAGGTAACGGTACGGAATCGAAAACTGGGAAGGTTCCTGCATTAGCAGAGAGACCCGGGGCTAGGCAGGAGGGATTTCAGATCATTCATCTCGCAGGAAGGAATGATGTAAGAACAGTGTAGGAAGGTGTCGCGAAGTCTCTCATCCACCCCAGATCGGAACTCCGGAGGCTCGTAGCGACACCGTCGAAGACATATCTTTGAAACTCCGCGAGCATCGCAAAAAGGGAAAAGGAGTAACGTTGTGCAGGAAGAGGTCGCTTGAGCAGCCGAGGAAAAGAATTGGACCGTAATTAATTCGATTGCATACACTGCTCTGTCGCGGCCAGATGTGATCCGGACCATCGGCGTCGCCACCATCGTTCGATACTTGTGAATCCTGCGAGCCGATTCTATGTGCCAACGTCTTCTCACTGTCAGTCTGTGATTACACCAACAAGATTAGTTCTACACATTGTCGAGCGCCTCGATTGTCGCGCCAGGAGACGAGCGGAGCTTGGTGAACAAATCGCTGAACGGTTCGTCTCTCGCTCCGGGTTGGCAGCGACCGGCACCGACAAGCTCTAGAGACGCAAAATTATCCCTGATGAAGAAATCGCAGGAAATTCCTCTGTGCGATAAATGATCCACTTACACTAACGCTACCGGAATTAGAGTTGCCAGAAACGACGGTTTGCTCCGAGTCGGTCATGGAAGCATTCTTCGTTTCTCCAGCGACCGAGAGGTCCCCCTGACTCTGTTGCTCTTTCCCTCCTCGTTTGAGATCATCTTGGACTGGGAATTTGAACTTCCTGCCACTCGGACCCGCCATCACTTGAGGCGAACCGGGAGCCGAGGACGCGCAGGACGACGTCGTGCTGGAGGAGTCTCCAGTCTGCTGAGATGATACTCCGCGTGAATTCCCGGCTATAGCGTGCTTTGGCAATCTCCCTCCCGAAGGGGAATGGCTCCCCAGCGGTCCACTCAGGTTTTCGAATGCACCCTGCTGATATCTTTGGGCGAAGGCGTCGAGAAGCTCGTTTGGAAGACCACAACTCGGGGGCACCTGCAAGGCGTAGAGCGAATTGAAAACGCACACATTCGACGAGAATAGAGCGATCCCCGAGGAACTTGCGGGGAAGAAATGAATCCGTGCGGATGGGAGGTGAGAGACCTGTTGAGCTTCGGAACCAACCTTCTCTACGCAGTCTCGGTGACAGCGGAACTTGCACTCTCTGCATCTGTACCCGAAAAACATTGGTTTATCACATTGTTGGCAATTGGTCACCTTGACGAACGGCGAAAACCGGTGACGAATCGCGTGGCTCATGCCCGGCAGCCGGGGAGAACGAGGAACAGACTGGCCGGTAGAGGTGACGGCGAACCTATCGGCTGCGGGAACAAGATAGATGTCAATAACGACGAACTTACGGACGCTCTCCGAGCCGTCCCGACTCGCTAGTACATAATAATTGAATTGCTCCAGCTTGTCGCTGGCTCGAACATACATTGTTGTGAACGCTGGTGACTTTGGTTGCTGACTACTGCGCGATTTTTCTCGAGATTATCGGAAAAGCAAGCGTCCACCGAAGCGTCGGGCGATGTCGCGTAAGAGGGACTTCTCGAAGGCGACAACCGCCCGGCCGAGCCGGGCGTGGGCTCGGTCTGAAGTCTTCTTCGGGTGAAACGATGGCCTTGTTCTCGATCGGATCGTAGTTGATCCAGACGAGACTTCGGCACCCCTCCACTGCTTGCGATTTCCGGAAACGTAGTTGTTTTACGCGGGATCGGGGGCGTTCTGTGAGGTTGGATCAAGACAGGCAAATTTAGATTGGTTTCCTCATGCGGAGGGTTGCGACGGACTCGCGAGCGGTCGAGCAACTTACTTCGCGGCGCGAGGCAGGATCGGCTTTGGTGGGACCTTAGGCGCGGTTCCTCGGTGGGGAGTTCCAGGCTGAGCCGTCTGATATTCCGCCTTCCCCAGGTATTCCCAGCTGAGATCCTCATTGTAATCGACGAACTGAAAACAGGTTCCGTTTGAGATATCCGAGCTTCTCGCCGCTCGAAGGTTCGAACGAAATTGGAGAGGGGAAATCGCTCCAGACCTTGCCCGTCGGGTAGTCCGTGGTCAGATATCGATCCACGATCATCCGCAGATTTCTCAGAGCAACAACAAGATGGGCCCGATCCTCCGCTTCTCCGTCACAGAGAGCATCTGGAATTGAAGATAGAGGTCAGCGCACGATATACTCGACGAGGATCTTCTGGGATGGCACATGTGAATTCAAACATTGCAGACGAGAGTCTCCCACCTTTTATCTGGTCCTCCGTCCGTTTGAACAGTTGATCGAAGTTTCCACCTGTCACCTCCTTAATGCTGTTGACTCCATTGTCGGTCAGACCGACGATTCTTAGCCAGCAGTCCAACTGGGGGTAACTCTCGAGCTCATCGTAATAATCACCTTGGGAGAAAGCTCTTCGGCGATGGTAAATTTGCCGTGCGGTGTACTGAACACAAACAGACTGAAAGGAGATAAGAAATTGAAGCTCGTCGGTCCAAACGCAAGACTCATGCTTTCGAACAATGAAAATTCGCGCTTGCCCCCTTTGCCTGCAAGGAAACGTCAAAGCAGCTGCCGGAATCGCCTGCTAGACTGCGAGAAGCGTGAATGACTCAGATAGTCCGAGTGGAGGGGCAGGGGGGGGGGGGATTGTGAGTGAGATCGACTCATTGGGATTCTGTTTCCAATGGGAGCCTCTTTCGATCCCCGATCGAGAAACTCACGGAATTATCTATCTAGAACGGGAATCATGACCATCTCACATGGGTGATCTCCTATAAGTACTGGGTGAGTATCACGAGTACTCAAATGAGCTATTTGTTGCCTAAATTCAAAAAGAGTTCCGTTCCCGTGAACTGAGACCATCGAATACAGTCTCAACGTCTCGAATCGGGTGAAATATCATGAAGGTAGCGGTGGAGGAGCTTCCCTCACAGAGTTCACAGGCAAGGGTTTCCGCTTTTCATGTGTCAACATATGACAAGCCGGAGGGCACGAAGAATGGCCATCCCCAATCCCATGGAATTTCCGGCGGCACTGCGGACCATTTCTTTGAGAATCCGTATTTCCAATGTCACCCGAGACCTACCTGGGCACATCGAATTTCCTTCCGAACAATCTCGAACTTGGGACTCAGATTGTTCTTGAAGCGCACCATCCGACAGCACCACAGATCGAGGGAGAATTGGAGTAGCTTGCAAACTTCGAGCGGACTATATTCATAATCGTATCTGACGATGCAAGTGTTTTTTATATCTTCTAACCGCTCTCGGTGTTCCATGGTTCATCACTCAAAGCGGGCCGGCAGACATCAGTCTCATTGGCGCCCCGCCTGCTCTCCTCGCGAGCATACACCACGGACGAAACACAGAACGACTTCGCGCCCCTTCAGCATGGAAATCGGTCGCTGGAATCCTTCCGCATAGATATCCTGTCCTTCCTCCGAAATTTCCGCTGAGCACCAACCATTCGCGATTCGCGGCTTTGTAGAACGACAGCTTCAGTCAGAGTCGAAACCGAACTGAGTCGTAGTGCTGATTGCACTGCTGTCGATTCCCAATTGTGTCAGGAAATTCGGAGTTCATTGACGGACAGAGCTGTCTTAATGTTTGTATTCCTTGACGCCTCGGGTGCCTCTTCGCTTTCCCCAGAGACAACTTTTCCGAAAGCGCCGGTGCTCGAATCGGGAGTTTTCGAGGTACTGCGGAGTCCGCGAGCAATGCGCTGCACTCCTCTTCCCCTTGATCACTCTCACCTGTCTACCCTCTCCACAGGCGAATCTGTCCGCTGAGCAAAGAGATAGAGAGAGGGGCGAATTGGCGGGCTTAAAATTTGTCCAGCTCGGCATACTAGATCCGAGATTAAATGCGTGTATGCGGAACGACTCGGAGTGACTCAAAATGCGATACTGAAGCGAGAAACACGGTCCTGACCATTTGGGCTTGTGCGGTAGTTCCCGAGAAGGTCCGTATGGTATAGACTCCCAAGTGTGTGACCAGAGCGTCAGAGAGAGAGAGTATGAAGAAGCAGAACTGATGAATACAATCAAGTCGACACGCATCTCCGTCTTCTCACTATTCCACTAGGGTAACCCGAACGGACTCTCACAATATGTATCATATGAACATGGTTATCATATGAATATGTTATGTGCTTCATATGAATCATTCATGCATCATGTACTATTTGAATATTAAATGTTTTATGTATCCGCATCAATATTATAAGTAGAAAGGTGTGCGTAGTAGACACTAGACACATAAACCCCAAGGAACCAAGGGATCTCGAGAGCTCGAGCACCCCGTCCACGGCATCGCTGAAACAGCGGAAGAATCGGAGGTCCGCCATCTTGGAACCTACCTTATGGCCATGGCCGACTCTGTTTATAATTTGTTTTGATGGTGAACAACACGGGATCCCATCGGAAGACCTGCCGATTTTAGACTGGTATCAAGCGATATCGTTCTCCTAGCAGGAGGAGGACGCAAACGTCTCCCTGATTCACCGGCGGCGTCCGTGGACCTACAGGAACTTCTGAAGTCTCATCGCTGATTCGGATCATCGCTCTCGTTCATGTCACGGATTCGCGGATCCTAGTGAAGCCGGATCTGGCTGCCAGTTCCAGGAGTCCGAGGAAAGTATTTGAAGCTCTGAACAGTTTTTAGAATCGTCGGGCACCCCATTCAGATCTTTTTCGGGACCTATTCCGTACCTCGTACCGAAATGCGCCGCAGTCATTCGAGATCGCCGCCGGGTCGAGACTATCGGGACCGAGGACGTGACTATCGCGATAGAGACCGCGACAAGAGGAGACATGATCGCTCGGGTCGTGACGCCGACAGGAGGGATTACCGGGACAGCCGAGACGACAGAAGAGACTTCAGAGAGGACAGGCGGGACCCGAGAGAAGACAAGAGGGACCGAGATCGAGATTTGAGAGACGACAGGAAAGAGCGTGACTTCCGATCCGAAAAAGACGAGAGCAAGTATGGCTCTCGGAGACGTAGTCGTTCCCCGATGCCGCGTCGAGAGCGTCGTCGGAGTCCCGATCATAACGCAAGTGGGGGAGACGGTAGGCCTTCGGGCTCAGGCCAGACGCGGAACGCGGTCCCTGATTTCCTCATGGAGAGGAAGCCCATACGCGAGGAAGATCTCGTGGATAAAGACGACGAGGAAATCCAGATGATGAAGCTCATGGGATTCGGAGGCTTCGAGTCGACCAAGGGCAAGAAAGTGCCGGGCAACGATGTCAGCGGAGTTCATGTGATCCAGAAGCGGAAGTATCGTCAGTACATGAACAGAAAAGGAGGTTTCAATAGACCGCTCGACTTTGTTGCTTGATTCAGTGATAATGCGCGCGCGGGAGAAAACTTCTTCCCGAATCGGAACGACAGTAGTCGTGGAGACTGTGCGAGGAAAAATAAATCAATTCCTAAGGGTTCTGTAATGAAACCAGATGACGAGGAATTATTCCATGGTGACAGCGTCGAATGCCGCAAGAAATTCGCTGGCATTTCAGTTTGGCAATTTAAACAAACGAGCTGTATCGGCATCACAGGTTTCCCTGATCTCCGTCTGCAACCCGCTGCCTCAACGGAGTTATGGCGATAGCGCGGCCGGGTGATGGTGACTCTAATTGGCTTGCCGAGGGTACCGACTGCCTTACCTTGGACTTCGGACCATTCGAATCAGCGCATCTATGGACACAAATGCCCTCGTGCGACGAATTTGTCGGAGCGAGGTTTGTTAACTTTCATTTGCAGTAGAGCTCAAACCGGAGTTCGAATTCTAATTCCGGCCAGTCAGCTTTCTCGATATCCAGTAACTCGAATATCACCCATCTCACCTTCAACCTTCGTCGATCGAGGAGAATCGCCCGAAATATTGGGCTATGACACAAGAACCCCCGAGAATCGAATCAATGGGAGGGGAATGAAAAAGTTTCTTTGATTCTTCATCAGACGAAGCAAGCACACGTCGGCAGCCTACAATGACGCTATATACATTTTCGGGGGCGACAACGGAAGAGAGATGTTGAATGACCTACTGCGCTTCGACGTTCGCGATCGATCATGGTCATCGTGCCGGAAATTCGCCACGAGTGTCGCGCCAGCACCAAGGTCAGTCTTCGTACTCGGCATCCTGTACAGTCTTCGATATACAGGCGCATGAGACGAAGGTCCCAGGGTAGCGCAGATCTTCAGGCTTCCCCAATCGAGACATTAGAAGCCCTCATTAGAATACTCTGATCTGACCAGGTACCACCACTCGGCAGTCGTTCACGAGAACTCGATGTACGTTTTCGGGGGTTACACAGGAGATCTACATTCCAATCAAAATTTGGCGAATAAAAACGACCTGCACGAGTTCCGCTTCACCAACGGACAGTGGATAGAATGGAAGTTCGACGGAAGGTTAGTCCAATCCTCGACTCACCAAATTATCAGACTCCATCTCCAGCCCGCCGTTCCATTTCCTTCGCACTCGCCGGACGCTCGCGGTCATCACGACTAGGAGGAGCGATCGGAACTGCATCTCCTAAGAGGATGTCTGACGGCAATTCATGCTCGCCTTCCCAGGAAACCTGTGCCCCGCTCCGCCCATGGGGCCGCGGTCTACGACAACAAGATGTGGATATTCGCGGGGTACGATGGTAACGCGAGACTGAACGATATGTGGTGCACGGCGCTAAGCAGTGCGACGCAAGGACCCGCTGGGAGTCAGATGGAGAAAAAAACATGGGAGGAAGTGAGTCACATCTGGAATTCGATACCGTCCCCGTCGTCAGAATTTCCTGATCGATCGAGATCGTCCCCTTGTACTTTCTCGAGGAGCTCTCTCTGACTCTCTTTCGTTCCATACGTAGGTGAACCAACGTGGCGAAAGGCCCCCAACTTGCTGTAATTTCCCTGTTTGTGTAGCCCGAGACTCGATGTTCGTGTTCAGTGGCCAGAGCGGTGCCAAGATAACTAACTCTCTGTACCAGTTCCACTTCAAAGACAAAATGTGAGTTCCTCCGTCCAAAGATTTTTTCCCTCTGAAGATGACGCTGTTATGGGGGAATCGCAATCGGATTGAGATGAGCTTTAGGCTTGGGAGGGAATTCTGACGGAAATTTTCTCGCTGTAATCCCGACAGGTGGACTCGCATCACGACTGAACACATTCTCCGAAACGCACCCCCGCCGCCGACGAGGAGATACGGACATACCATGGTGGCTTATGACAGGTAATATTCACGGACGAACCGCGGTAGAGCGATCCAACACCACATTTCCCGGATAAGCTGCCAGAGATACGTACTTGTACTCTCGAAAATATTCTGGGAGCTTCGACTCGATTGCAGACATCTGTACGTTTTCGGAGGGACGGCGGACAGTACGCAGCGGAACGATCTCCACTCTTTCGACTTGGACGAGAAGATTTGGAAGATCGTAGAATCTGCGCCTGGAAGCATTGTTAGTATCGTAGCAACGATATCCGACAGTCACATGAGAACTGGGGTGGGCGTCGGCTCTCTCTCGGGGAAAATCATAGATTTACGTCTTCCCGTATGCAGGTACCTTCCGGGAGACTTTTCCACAGTGCCGCCGTGATCGCGGACGCCATGTATATTTTTGGCGGCACAAAAGACAACAACACAAGGTGGTTTCAAGTTTTTTTCATTGCTTATTGTCCATGAGATTATCAGCCGATATCTGCGAAGACTCATCGGAGAGATTGATCACTCATTCCGTACATGATTTCGCAGATCTCGCGAAATGTATCGTTTCCAATTTTCATCTCATCCCAAGTGCACGCTGCACGAAGATTATCGAAGATTACTCCAGAGTAAATTGTTCTGTGATATAGAATTTCTCGTGGGCCAAGAGAGTATAGCCGTGCCGGCCCATATGGCATTCGTGGCTGCCAGATCGGATTTCTTGAGAGAGAAGATCTTCAGAGCGAAGGTACCGCGGTCCTTAGAGAGCATTTGCCTGCAGCTATCGGAAACAACCTTCAGACTTCCATTTTTTCCTTGGCGACAATGCAGTCTGCACCTCAACCTGACTGCTCTCATTGAAGGAAAAACACGAAGCCTCCCCGGGAGCATCCGGTATTCTATCCGTCTGTCTGCCGGATGTCACGCCCGAGCCCTTCCAACTCGTCCTGACATACATTTACACAGACAGCATCGATCCTACAGAGAACGACAGGGAGCAGGGCTCGAATCAAATCGTTCTTCTCATGATGGAGGTTCGTCGCAGGAATTTCCCCCCCATTTTTCTTGGCTCCCGTTGAGAGAATCATACTCTGAGAAATGTCCGATCCACAAATTATTTCAGGTCTACCGTCTAGCTGTGCAGTTCCATATGCGGCAGTTGGAACACTTGACCGTCCAATATTTGGAGGCCGCTATCAATCATAACAACGTTCTCCTCGCGGTACAGAATGCAGATTCCTTGAAGTTGGATTTCATCAAGGTAGAAATTTTGATGTATCCCGAAGACTTTGATCATACGATCCGTACGAACCGGAGTCGACCAGGGTGAATCGCAACTCCTTCTTTATCTATTCAGGAATATTGTCTCCGATTCATCGTCAAGGAGTGCAATTATAACCACATTGTGATGTCGAAAGAATTCGAGACCATGTCGCAGCCGCTCATGGTCGAGATTATCAGGCGGTAGGTCTATCCCCTTGATTCATTGCCTGCGGAAAGAACCTGTCGGAAGCTCGGCAGAGTCTCACTGCTGCAAGATCCTCGGGATTGACGACGTCGACGAGGAGCTCAAAAATGAGGAAAGTCTTTCATTTTAGGCGCCAAGTTCCGGCACTTCGCTATACGGCACCCGCGAGCGAGAGTCCACCCGACGGATCGGGCTCCAATCTCGAACAAGACATGTCAACCCTTCTGCGCGAAATTGGAAAAGCATCGACGGATCTGACCGACATTACTCTCATGCTGGATGGGCTCGTCGTCAGAGCTCACAAATGCGTGTTGGCCGCGAGGTCAGCGCCCGCTTTTCTTCATCAAAATCTCTGTATCCATGCCTAACTCGGAAATAACGCGACCTTTCCGTCCTAGATGCTCGTATTTTGAGGCTATGTTCCGGTCATTCATGCCGCCGGACAACATTGTTAAGATAGCGATTGGAGAAATGGTGCCTTCCGAACAGGCCTTCCATACATTATTAAGGTGAATTCCCGGAGAGGAGAATTCTCTGACTATCTTGATCTGAAGCTTCGCGGGACAATTTCCCACTGAGATGAGCTTGATCCTCAGATACATCTACCATGGGGATGTTGAAATGCCGCCCGAGGACTCCTTGTACATATTCTCCGCGCCCTTCTTTTATGGTTTCACCAACGGTAGACTTCAAGCTGCGTGCAAACAGAACCTTGAAAGAAATGTCACGACCGACAACGTCATTCAGGTTAGTTATGAGATCCATGGCACAGAAGAGTGCGTCGCTTTCGTGTGAGAGGAAACCCCGCTCGTCGCGAGATTCCAAAATCCACTCGTTTTCGCCATAGGTTCTTGAAGCTGCTGATAAAATACAAGCCACTGATATGAAGAAGCATGCCCTGAACCTGATAGTCCAGCAGTACCCGAAAGTCGCAAAGGTAATTCGCCTGGGAATAAAAAACTTGAACGTTATCACGGAGTCGGAGGATGCTCCTTCCGAGTCTTCGCGTACCTTCTAATTGGACTTGCGTCGCAGGTTGCTCGTCTCCGCCAGTTGTCGAGGGATCTCCTGTTGGACATACTCGATTCGCTTGCTGAAGAAATGGGCCGTTCCGGAAAACTTTGTGCCGATACCAGCAGTCCTAGTCTTTGTGGCCTTGACAGTTCCTGCTGTCAGATGGGCAGCAGCGACAGCAGTTATTATACATTAGACAACATTCCGAATAAGGAATAGCAATCTCGTCGGTTTTGAATCGAATTTTGTATATATGGGAGCGTGACAGCTATCTGTTGGCAATAAAATTATCACCGGTTATTTCAGTCCCGTTTACGATCTGTAATCACAATCGGATGAAGCTCGCTCCGCACTTGCGCGTCGCTAATTAAGAGAGCGAGAGACCTACGACGGGAATCTCAGTCTATGGAATCGAAGAAGCGAGCTGCTTCACTTTCAGGAACTGTCCGCAGGGATCCTCTATCCTTACACCCTTCCTCAGACGGACGGATCGAATGATTCCTAGCAACTACGTCGATGTTCGCTCCGCGCGAGCAATCTCGACTGTGCGAGAATGTCGGAATCTATTATCTCTAATCAAGTATTCGTAGAGTTTATCCAGCGAAGCTTTTATTCCAATTTCTCACGAGGAGTCTCCTAACAAGAGATCGATGAGCTCCAAGATTACGGAATGCAAACCTTGGACTCGAGTCTTCGAATCACGGGACCGCTTCAGCATCTGAATGTTCCTCGGGTGGTACCGCGGCGTCTCGGAGCTCGGCACTCGAGGGAACGATGGTTCCCGTAAAAAGATTTGATAAAGGGCTCTCCCGCGCTGGAGAGAAGCCTCGGATCATGTCTGCACCCTGGTCGAAAGCATTCGAACAACAGAAACGTCCAATCATTGCCCCGAACGCCGACTGGGGTTTTTGCGATCGCAGTGAGCGACACCGACCCCACCACTCTCCGCTTCCATAATTCTATCGACGCTACGATATTCCTAAAGCTACAAATCTCCCTCTGGTACAGCGGACCTGAGCGTCGGCTTCGTTTCGACCTCCGCGAGCTATTATTTAAGTACAAAAAAATTCTCACGCGCTATAATCATCTCCACGCTCTTTTTCTGCTCGGATCCTGAACGATTAGTTTTCCGGTATGATCAACATTTCTCGTCTTGCATTCTAAGAGTATCAGGCTCAGATTAAAGTCTCTCAACTCGCGCGCGAATCCAATTGCTGTATGTGCTCTCAACACTAGTCATAGAGGCTAGTGACGATGGTACGAGCCTTTTCTGGGCTTGTCCCACGTCAGACTACCTAATTAAACCCGTTTAGATAAACCGCTTCCTTGGCTCGGCTTCACTTCGCAATATCCAAGGTACGGTCTACGGTTTCGTCACTACTCACTGCCGTCGTCTTTGACCTTTCTTCAACTCCTTCCTAACAATAGAATTCAGGAGCTAATCGCTCCGACATAGAGAATACCTCTAACTCAATGCTTGTCAAAATATAACCGATTTCCAGGAATTGCCGACTGGCAAGAAACGGGAGGGTGGACGGGGAAGAATTTACTCAGCGACAAGCACACGTTGTTGTCCGTCGATGTATCGCGCGGTGAATTATTGCACTTATACACTGAATAATTTTGTCATGTATTCACTCCGAGACTCCAGGAGACTCTCACAAGGAGTTCATGAGCTGCTGAGTTCACTCCACGCGAAATCATCGTATCTGCGCATCGTTCCGTGAATAGAAAATTGCGGGAAGAGATTCTGATTCTGACGGACTTTCCTACGGTGGTCGACAATATGAGCATAGCTTTCAGTTTTGACTGCGCATGGTTCATTTACGCTCAAACTCATCGGAAGAAACGCCATCTCCCAATTTCAGGAACAACTCTCGAGTTCGTTCATATTCCCATCGGGGCTTCCACGCAGACACACATGGGGAGAATTCATGCGAAAGAGTTATACTTCAAGAGAATTCGACCGTCGTAGCCTCTGTGAATCCGTGACACGGCCGGCCCTGCGTGTCGTCGCTGCTATGCTAGCGTATTTTTCGACCGTGCGTCATCTCGATGACATCTCGGAATACCCCTGCGACGCGCCGCGGCGCCCGCTCCTAGACAGTGCATATGCCTCTCATACCGTCAGCACAAATATCCTCTATCAAAACGTTTAGTAATCGCATATCGCACAGGGCGACACTTAGTGAATAGCAAACGATCATTTTCGGTCAACACCTCGCCCTGATAATGTGGAACAGTAGGGTTTAGACCTATCTACCAAAACATCATCACGATCGAATCCACAGAACTACAAATGCGAAGCACGCTAGATCTTATCACTCCGTAACACGTAAGTACATTGGTGAGACGCATACAGCCGGACCCCTCGAGTTCCTAGTCAGAGGAAACGGTAATCTGGTTTGAAGTCGACGTGATGCGGAATTTTCGCTCAATCCTCTCAGTCCCGCAAGACGCTCAGTAGAGGCGAATCATCGAGGTCCGGATGGGATGTCCCCGACCCCTGCGGAAAACATCGTTCGGAAGCCTCTTGATATTGAAAATCCTGAGTCCTATAGGCTCTGAAAGGCTCAACATCATATGCCGATCTTCACCAGACGGACGCGGCAGAACTCGAGGTTTGTCGAGCACTCAGCAACAGTCACAATACGACGGAACGTCTCATCACTTCTCCTCATCTGGATCGAGTCTTCACAATTCTACCACGGGATTCCTCTGTTTTTCTCGGATCGTCCCCGGATGGTTCTCATCTCGGATGGGTTGTGTCGTAATACGAATCCTCTACAAACGAGAAAGAATAGGCTCAACCAGACGCCTGTAGTTAGGTCTATTTGGCGAAGATGGAAGGAATGAATAAATCAATAACCTACCTCCTTCAGAGACCCTCTAGCGTTGTAGAGCTTATACGACGCAATTATGGGAATCATAGCGACCGAAGATAGCGCGAAAGCCCAACCGATAGCTGAAAATTAAATTATATAGGATTCTGAGATCACCTCTGAGATGAATGAAGCAGGGGGGGACCTCCGACGCAACGGCCCGCGAGTGAGGACACTCAGAACTTACAATTTAGTCGAGTTGAAAAATCTCACCTTCTGTCCAGGGTGGGTAGATGTAATCATTATACTCGACCGGACCCGATCCAAAGATGGCGGAAATGATCACGATCTGTAAGGACAGAGAGAAAACGAGCTCAATCATCAATCGGGGACGATTCGGGATATACCCCCCCTCCGTTTCAGAACCCTGTGCAATACACAACTTGGCAGAGACATTCTGTTTTTTTCTGTTTTTTTTTCCCGGAAAGGCTCGCGACAACCTACCACCAGGAAGAGCGGTGACACGAATTTCCAGCAGCCCCGCCAGAAGAACCCAGGAGTGATTCCGAGCATTTGTTGAATATCTCCTGAGAAGCGATCGAGTCCATAGACCCAGGACACGGCGAGAGCTTCGAAGAGCGCACTGCACAGCAAAGATATTCCCGCGGCATATGTGTCAAACCAGGTGACCATGTATCCACCTCCCTAAAATACAGAATGATCGACACCTGCACTCCAACAAGCTCGAAGATGGCTCATCCGGAGAGGGGAGCTTCAGTGGATATGTCGCTCACCCTGGTGACGTTGATCATCGACATTGAGAACGAAGCGCATAGGACGAACACAGTGAACAATTCCCTCGGAATTTTCCATCGTCCAATGCGAAACTTAAACTCGTCCATGAGCCCGGTGATGACGGATTCCAGTCCTCCCATCTGTGAACACACAAGCTCAATGAAGGCCATAACCCGAATCAGGCAAGCGGCGTTATTGGCCAAAGCGCCGATCCTGGATATCTCAACTCACAGCGCTGTCGAGACCAAGAGTCAGTAGCATGACGAAAAATAGCACCGACCAGAAGGGAGCACCGGGAAGAGTCGATATAGCTTCGGGATACACTTGGAATACGAGTCCATGTCCTTCGGTTGCGACCTAGAGTTGCCGAATCGAATCGGTGGAATCCTGTTCTTTCATTTATTCATCCTGCGGGCGGCTTTTATTCTGAGAGCAAATTCAAAGGAGTTCTCTCACCTTATCGATAGGAACGCCTTGCTTCTTCGCCATGTAGCCCAAGTAGACGAATATGACGAATCCAGAATAGAAGGATGTACCGCTGTTCACGCAAGCGGTCATAAGACAATCCCTGAATTACGAGAGGGGGAGCGTGTATGTACATACCAACATTTTACCTCCATCATACATTTATATGGGTAGCTTGCGCGCCTCTCTGGTGTCCGGCGGGACTCTCCGATCGAGAGCTCGATGAATATATGCACTCGAAAAACTCACTTATAACAATTGTTCGTAAATGGGTTGTACGATGCGTAAGTCAGATGAACGCCGAATCCAACCCCAACCGAGAAAAATACCTGCATTGGAAAATCCGTCTCAAAAACGGGATGGAGGAAACCTCTGGGAGAGTATTCAAGGTACTGTCTCGAGTTCCAATTATCTGACCTGGACCGCTGCGTCGACCCAAACTTTGCTGTCGTACAGTTTCGAAACGTCTGGTCTCAAGTAATATAAAACTCCTTCGTCCGCTCCAGGCAAGAAAACCCCCCTTATGAGCAGTATGGTAAGGATGACGTAAGGAGCGGTGGCGGTAAACCAAACGACCTGCGGGAAGCGTGAGATCAGTGGGTCGGATTCATGGACCTAATTGGACTCTGGGAACGGCGGGCGATGTTTTCCGTGATGATCCCTTTGCCTAAAACCTTTCAAATGACGCCTATCGAACTATTTACCTTTCCCGATGAATTGACACCTTTACAGAGAGCAACGTACAGGATACAGAAGACAAAGAAGACGCAAACCACGAGCTGCCACTTCGGTACACCAAGATCATGCATACCACTCGACGTGTGCAGTTCTAGAACTCCTCGACTGCAATGGAAAGGAGAGGGACTCGTCATTCGGTCAACGAGAGATCTCGGTTTGGGCTCAGGAGCCCGGGACGTGAACTGGAGACTTCCAAGCTCCACGCTTGTCTTTCTTTCTGGAGCTTCTCCGTGATAGTTCGACTCACTTGAAAAATTCGAGCGCCGCCGAAGTTCGGTTTTCTGCGGCGATGCCAGCCTCCTTCGCGCCCGAGTAGCAAGTCGGAGTATTCCAAGGATTCCCACAAGTCGACCAAGGGAGCTCCGAGGAGAACGATGATATGACGAAGTAGATTGCCCAACCAATGATGACATTGTAATAAAACGACACGTACCACGATATCAAAACAGCACAGTAGCCGACACCTGGAGCGGTGCAGACTCACGTAGATTCAAATCTTTGAACGGAACCGAAAGTCCCCCATAAAAGACGTGGGTGAATCTCATCGAGTACAACAAGCATCGACCAACCTTTGAACAGAGGACACATGTTCCAAACGCTGATGGGCCCTGAGCGATTATATTGCCCGATGACGAGTTCCATGTAGAACAGCGGTAGAGCGCCAAACAATAACATAAGTGTATAAGGAATAAGAAACACTCCTAGAATGAGAAGATGTAAAGTTCTTTCATTCTTTCTCTTCTCCGTAGCTCGATGACAAGGGGGAATGGAAGGTTTCCTAGTTTTCAGACCGTCACGGGAGAATCGGATTCTTTACCTCCCCCGTTTTTGTAGCACAAATATGGGAATCTCCATACGTTCGCTAAATCTACAGCGAAGCCTATGATCGAGAGCAAGAAGTCCGCTTTCGATTGCCATTGTGGTCGATCGCCATCTTCTTTCGACTTGAAGATAAAATGTGAGCTTCATTAGCAGGGGAAGGAATTTCGACAACCTCGGGGAGAAGTCGCGATCCTCGCAGAGTCTATACAATGATAGGCCGAAGGGTGTCGTTATCAGCATGCTAGAGGGAGACCAACATGGATTGAGTTCCTTTCTGTCGGACTGTGTTCATCGCGACCGGCAGCGTTCGATAAACTGTTGCCGACGAGTACGACTTGGGTGTGACTCCCGCTTCCGCTAAGACGTTCAATGGCTGCTGTGTCTGAAATTCGATGTCCGTCTGACTACTGACCTCTACATTGAGTCGGAATGTTCAACTACGTACCGAAGCTTCGCTGATTCCAGAGAGAGACTCACCGCAGGATATGGGCGTACTTGTGTATGAACAGTATCCATCATCTTTGGTTAGGCGTCGCAATTTCTTTTTCGCAATTTTCCCTGGAATACGGTCGAGAGAAACTTTCATGATCGCTCGGGGAACCGGGCGCCGCCGGTCCATTCCCCGCATGTCAGCCTCGAACAGTTTTCGATCGGGACTGCTTGGACATCTCGGATGACTCAACTTACCGGCCTTTGACGGGGGAGTGTCCATTTCAGTTTCACTTGTGTCCTCCTGCGACGGAGTCACGATGCTATGGTCCTTCATCTGACGAGAAAACATCAACATTGACACACGACAACAGGACATCAAGAAATACGGACTCCTCGATTGCCTTCGTCGGTAATCGCGCTCCGACTCATCGAAAAGCGAATACTGAAGCTTAATGTAGGTCAAATGGAGGAACGCGAATATAGTTCTTATTCTCTACTCTCTCGTATGGGATCATATGGCGTTGAAACCCAGTTTTCTTTCCGAAATTCATCCAAGTGGGTGGAGCAGCAACCTCTTCCCTGATCCCACGAGGGCTGGGAATGGTTCCGTGTTTCCCGGAACCTCGTCGATCGGCAGAAGAGGAGATCGCTGCGACTTTCGAGGAGATTCCTCTCGATATTCCCCTCGAGAGAAGGGGAACATCTGAATCAGGAGCGCAACCGTCTCTCATTCCATCGAATTCTCATCGTCGGAAAGGGGATGTCGCAGCTGTGAAGCGATATTTCTATAGATTCCTCCGCGAACTTTCCCGAAAAAATCAATCTCTCTCTCTCTCGAGAAGTAGGAGGCATGATACAGGGTCGCGTATTTATTGTAGTCTGTTCGTCTATGACAATGGCGTCCGCTTGACAAAATCAAGTTCCTCGCGAAAACACCTCCCGTCGCGTTCCGAGGTCGTGCTAAGCCTCCGCGACGAGGTGAAGTAGGGAATGTTGGGGAGATTTCAACGATCATCATTGTGGGCGGACGGGCGGGCAGGCAGGCAAACGGGCACCCAGCAAGTCGGGTTGGTTGACTTGTTCGGCAAGCGGGAGCTCCTCTTTGACAGGCAAATATCTGCTCCCTCGCCGTCGACGTCCCCTGGCCGCCCGCTCGCCTGCGTGCGTGCGCCTGCCCGCCAGCCCTGCGAGTCTCTTAACCCAGGGGGACCCGTCGTCTTTTCTTTTTGTTGTCCTCTCTCCCGTTCGGTCCGCGGCCAGCCAAGCGACCGACCGACCAACCGGCAAACAGGCAGGCCGTTCGTTCTCTGTCACCCGCTTCGAAATATGAGGTCCGAACGGAAGGAAGGAAGAATGAAAGTGAAGAGAGAAGATCATCGCGCAAACCGCCTCTCGCGCCTCCGGGCCCCGGCTCCTCTATGCCAGCTCGGCAGACAGGCAAGCCGCCGGCTGTGTACGTGAGCGAGCGAGCGAGCAAGGGAACCAGAGTGCGTATGAATGAACGAACGAACGAAAAGAAGGTGAGAGCAAACGGGAAGGGACTAAAACGAGGGACTGGCGCGGTGACAAATATGAGAATAAAGCTTAGTTCGGAATTCGTTTATTAAATTCTCCTTCTCCCTTGACTATCATCTTGGCGCCTTTTCTCTATCGCCCTGCCGCAGCGCCCCCTCCTTGAGTACCTCACTGGCTCACTTACTCGTTTGGTCGGTCCGTCAGTCGGTCGAGCGAGCGAGCGACGGATTACACTGAAGAATTCGTCGTCATTTTCCCGCTCAGGGAAAACTTCACTTCAAGTAATTTTGTAACCCTAACGCGTTCATCAAATATTTTTCACAATCTATACGAGCCGTAGAATTCATATCAATGCCCCTGTTCCTCCCGCGAATTTTTTTCTCCCACATTATACCGGCGCCGTGCACAAAATTGACCGGAACGCCGTTGATCCTCGCCAGAGCCATGCCGGGACTCCTCACAGCCAACTTGGAGTTCCATGCATAGCGGTGCGTGGAAAAATAGATTCGGTCCAGGCCTCGTCGGGCGCGTAACGATGGACTCGCAGAGAGAAACAGTCTGTTTACCTATTCCGACTCAGGGAGCATGGATAGTTGAGTGAGGTTTGAGAGAAAGGAATATGTGCAGCGTGGATCCTTTTCTCCCGTAATTCGCTTTCCGGGATAAGCTCCCTCCGCGAAGACCCTTGACGAATATCCCGACGAATATGTCGACGAAGATCCCTGTCGGCGACCCCTTACCTATATGACTTCCCTGTTCGAGCAGGCCATTAATCAATTAAGGGACCTGGTGCCGACCGTGCACATCGACGGCATTCGGGTCCCTGGCCGCGCACCTCTTGGCTGCTCATGCTCGTTAGTCGGCAGCGCTATCAGCCCAGCTGTCCCGTCGGTGACTTCTCGGGTCTTTCGGACGGACCCCCTACTAGAAGGCCGATCGGAAGGACTTCCAGACCTAGGAGCCGATTGAAGCCACAGCGCCAGCGTCAACATTGAAAAACCCGATACGAAATGGTCGATTCAAAAGAAAATCTGGGAAAAACAATCCCTAGTAGCATTGCACAGAATGCACGCAACTTCCGTTTGGGGCTTCAACCGATTCGAAGTTTCTAGAACACAGTGGAAGGCAACCGCGGTACCACAATTGACCTACGCAAACGCAGTAACCGTTGCAACTGGGAAATTACTCGCAAAACTCGAACAACGGCAGAGAGATGCGGGGAAAAGGGGCATTATGAATCACATCCTATAAAACCGCGAACGAATCCATCACCGGCGAGCTCGGGTGATCCTCCTTTGAAGCGAGGGAAGCCCAGAGCAAATTGAGGTACCTATATGAAAAGAATCGAAGTCATGTCTCATGACTAGGGCTGTGCATCACGCATAATGCATATTTTTATGCATACTGCATATTTCGCCGATTTCTGAGTTTTCGTGAATTTTTATATAATTCCGTCTTATGAGCTCCCATATATGAGTTTTCAATCTCAAGTCGACAGCATGTCGACTTCTCCTCACGAGCCAGGAAAACTTTTTCGGGCTGGACCACACAGCCGAGGTTTAATCGCAGTCCCGGGTGCTGCTGTTCACATTGCTCCCGAGGACGGATCCATAGAGCAAATGTACCCAGGAGGATCAAGGCCGAGTACCTGCCTTTCCGTAAGGAATATTTTGTCGGCAACAGGGATCGAACCCACGCCACCTCCCGATCGAGCGGCGATGTTGCGGCATTTCACGAAGTGGAACGCACGTTTGCACGAGAAGTGACAAACGCGCTAACCACTCGAGCACCCGTCGGTTCTCACGAGCCAGAGCAAAATCTGTCGAAAACCCTCCTGATGAAGTACGTTCAGATGATTCCAGGGTGCCTCAGCTCTGACTGCCGATGTTGGTAGGCGGCGTGCAACCGTCGACGCCGTGCAACCTCTGACTTGAGATGTAGACTGCCGCCAAACATTCGAGAGAGCTCAGTTGGCTCTGGTACCATGCGAAGAGGAGCGTTCTTTCCCGCGGTATAGGGCGATAGTGCTAGACAACGGGAACTCATTCCTCTTTGAAAAACTAAAGAAATCGGTCGTGGTTGCTTGTAACAAGGATCTCTTATAAAAAATCCGTGCATATTTTCATGCATATTTGGCCGTATTTTTCGTGCATACTGCATGCATATTTTCGAGTTTTTGGTGCATATTTTGCACAGCCCTACTCATGACTCATGACAGGTGGCCAACAGCGTTACTGAGTATGATGGAGATAGTGGGCATACGAACAAAAATGTACGAAAGGAACACCCGAAAAGGACATACAACTGCGATACAATCGAAGTTGCATATTCAGTCTCGGGACTCGGGAGCACCATGTTTGAATACCTATAACTCTCAGATAAAAAAAAATCAGAGAGACCCAGGAGAGCGTCTGGACTCCAGACAACACAGACATGATGCAGAACAGATGATGAGACAGAACATGATGCTGAAATCAAGCCTCGAAGTTTACCGGCAAGGCAAGAACAGCCTCGGTATCCAAACCTTCCTCTACGGAAACCGAAGAGAGGCACTCTCCTGGCCTTGGCCAGAGTGGGAAAAATAACCGACGAAAAGCCGAGGTAGGTCTATTGACCCGCAGCAGGAGGACACCTGCCCCAGATGCGGAAGATTTGAAGCGACTGTAAAACATGTGATCTTCGAATGCAACGACGCATACTACACGGACGAAGATTTACTCTAAAGATTAGGCCTCCTAGAGAGAATACAGGACCCTTCGATCGTGACAAAAACCAAACGAATCCTAGAAAAATGGGAGAAGGAAACCAAAGATCTGCTTAATAGCGCCTGACATGAAAGGCTGATGCGTCATCTTCTTCTTCTTCTTCTCTATATATAAAAATCTCCGCAGGGTTTCTATGTTACCTATGCTCGCCAAAACTGCTGAACGGATTCTCTCATTCTTAAACTTGACAACATTAACCATACCCATTGCGGGATGGTTTGTATACGCTCAAAACCCTATTTCTGATTCCCCAAACCCCCAAAGTTTGCCTCTTGCCTCAGTCGGCTCAACGTCGTCGTCTTTTTTGGCGTTTCTCGAGCGGTACAATCCGCTCGGCGAGGGGTAGCGAGCAACCTTACACGACCGAACGGGTCGTAACGGGAGTTCGATCGCTCTCTTCGTTTCATCGTCCCCGTGACGTCTTGAGGGTCGGAATCAGGATCGGGGACATCGGGGGCCAACTCCATTCGGTCAAAACGGAAGGCTTATCGCTCTCACGGTCATCGTGCCCAGGCTTGAGAGTCAGGGAATCGAGAACGGGTGCCGTCCACGCGCGTGCTCTTTCTTCGATTTCCATCGAAGATATTGAGCATCGAGAATTGAGGCCAAGGATGCACTGCGTTTTGTCTCTTGAAACTTGAAACCCGCTCAGCTGAGACTGCGGAGCAGCAGACTTTAAGCCTGGCATACAGAGACAGAGTGATGCGCGATGAGGGCGAATGGCTCACGGACAATCGAATCGCTCTGCGTTGCGTTCGATTTTGATTCCATGCACCTTTTTTCATATTGTCGACTCTCTGTTGTCGATGTCGGTGACATGAGCGTCGTATGTTCATCCTGTCGTGAGTTGTAAATCGAAAATGAATCCTGGGGAGCATGCGGCGCATCAGAAATCGTGATGATTCTGTGTGGGAAATTTGAGGGCGGAATTCCCGATCATACCGACCGACAAAGTTCGGGTTCAAACGGCTGCGATTTGCCGTGCTTCCCGTGCGTGTCAATATGGCACAAGGTCAATTACTGCAGGCATGCGGCCTGATCTTCGAGAATCCAT